TAGTGAATGGAATTTTTGTCGCTGGCATTCTTATTGAAACCATCTACATTTTGTCACGGGCATGCATAGAAAAGAAGTTCATTAAAAACTCAAAGTTTCTTGAAACACATTTAAATCCCAACCATGGAAAATCTCATCAGGAACCTCAAAGGCAAGAAGGAAGAATAGAACAAGTTTTACAACAGTTACGAGTGCATGAAAACCGTTCGACCCGAGGCAAGTTGCACCTAAGACCTCAGAGGGAAGATGATGTCGTTCAACCACAACCATACGAGCGAGAACACCGTCCAACCGAAGTCGAGTTACACTCAGAACCTCAAAGACAGGATGATGTTGTTCCACTGCAAAGAGAGCGAGAACACCGTGCGACCCAAATTGAGTCCCACCAAGAACCTCAAAGACAAGATGACGTTTTCCCAATACAACCACCGGATGAAATCGAGTCGCATCAAGAACCTCAAAAGCCAGATAGAAGGTGCGGACATGATAATGTTCCTCTGACGCAAAGGGAACCAGAACAGCTCCAAAACTCAGATCTTCAACGATTCATTGCGAAAACAAAGGAAATAATTCAAGAAGACACCCAAAACCTTTCTGAGCTCCAATCACCTTTTTTAGGAAACCCAGGCGAACAAACGGCAGTTAAACATTTGACTTTGGATCAGATTTACACAAATCTTACGGTTATTAATGATAGAGATACATATGACTTTACTGAAGACAGACAGGAGCAACTCAAAGTTTACCCAAGGTCGCGCAAGGGAGAATCACAACCCAAAGGCTTAGAAGACCTCCTAACAGATAAAAGTAAGAAAGTTTTGGTTGTTGGTCGTCCCGGAATCGGCAAAACATTATGTTGTATTAAACTTCTCAGAGACTGGGCATTTGATGAAGTTTTTATAGCGACATCTAATGCTGAAACGCACTTTGATGCTGCCTTCTTCGTAAAATTCAGAAGATTCAACTCGACCGACGTCCTGAACCTCAAGGAACTATTGATTCAGTCAGAGCATTTTCCCCCAGACCACCTGGATGATAAAGTCTGGAAATACATCCTGCAACACCCTAAACGCGTCCTCATACTTTTTGACGGATTCGATGAATTCAAACATGATGCTAAGATCGTTCAGGCGCCTCCTCGTCCCAGCGTAGAACAGCAAATGCCGCTCCGAATCCTCTATCACTGTCTTGTGCGCGGAAAACTCCTCAAAGACGCCTCAATTGTGACCACAACGAGACCTACGGCTTTGCCGAGCATCAGACGCCTTCCATTCGACAAAGTCTGCGAGATTTTGGGGTTTTCAACAGAGCAAATTGAAGAATATGTCTACAAATTTACGGGAGACGACAAGCAAGCAGGCGAAACACTATGGCGACACATCAACAGCAACATGAACTTACTTTCGCTCTGTTATGTCCCTGTGAACAGCTTCATCATATGCTCAAGTCTGTTCCAAATATTGCAGTTCGAAAGTTCCGCTGTTGTTACGCTCCCTTCCAAATTAACCAAGATATACAAGATTGCAGTGAAATTGTTTTATTTTAGACACACTAAAGAATTCCACGATACTGATATCACTCGTGAACACTTTGAATCTGATGAATTGTCCTCGGATGTGGAGGAGAAATTCGAGAAACTAGGAAGAGTGGCGTTTGAAGGAATCAAAGAAGGAAAACTGATCCTTGAAGGAAACGAAGTACGCGGAATGGAAGACAACGCGCTTTTTCATCGCTTACCCGACAGTAAAACCAGCGCGCTTAAACTTGAACGACAATTCTGTTTCATTCATCTGACAATACAAGAGTTTTTCGCTGCGAGGCACTTGGCAAATAGTATGAGTGAAACAGAATTGAGGAACTTTGTTTCCGAGAACATCAAGAACGGCAAATGGCAACTGGTTTTTCAGTTTCTGGCAGGACTAATGGAGGATAAAGTTCACCTACCAAGCGAAATCATCACTGACCTTCTTCCTGTGAAAACTGAAATGAAAGAAAGCGCCGACTCCAACGAACAGTGGACCGAGAATGAAGACAAAATGGTGACCTGCTGGCCGACTGAAGACGAACAAGATTTAGCAGTGACGCTTTTTAAATGTGGTAACGAAAGTGATAAGATGGAGTCGATAGTTCAGAGAAAACTTCAACAAATTAACTTTAATTTTGTAAATTTTATTCGCGGTCACCTCACAGCTGTTGATTGCTCTTCGTTAGTAAATGTAATTAAGAATGTTCCACAAATTTCACATTTAGATTTGAGTCACAATAACATCGGTCCATTAGGTTGTTTTGAGATTTGTAAATTGTTAAAATGTAGGGAATCTCAACTGAGCTGGTTAAACCTCACAAGAAATCAACTGACAGATGAAGCAGCAAAGTATTTAGCTGACGCCATCAACAACAACAACTGTCAGCTACACACGTTATACCTCACAGGAAATAACATCTCAGACATTGGAGCACAGCACTTGGCTGACGCCATCCACAACAACAACTGTCAGCTACACACGTTATACCTCTCAATAAATAACATCTCATACATTGGAGCACAGCACTTGGCTGACGCCATCAACAACAACAACTGTCAGCTACACACGTTAAACCTCTCATACAATAACATCTCAGACATTGGAGCACAGCACTTGGCTGAAGCCATCAACAACAACAACTGTCAGCTACACACGTTAAACCTCACAGACAATAACATCTCAGACATTGGAGCACAGCACTTGGCTGACGCCATCAACAACAACAACTGTCAGCTACACACGTTAAACCTCTCATACAATAACATCTCAGACATTGGAGCACAGCACTTGGCTGACGCCATCAACAACAACAACTGTCAGCTACACACGTTAAACCTCACAGACAATAACATCTCAGACATTGGAGCACAGCACTTGGCTGACGCCATCAACAACAACAACTGTCAGCTACACACGTTAGACCTCTCATCCAATAGCATCTCACACCTTGGAGCACAGCACTTGGCTGAAGCTATCAACAACAACAACAACTGTCAGCTACACACGTTAGACCTCTCATAAAAGAACATCTCAGACACTGGAGCACAGCACTTGGCTGATGCCATCAACAACTCTCAGCTACACACGTTAGATCTCAATAAATAACATCTCACACATTGGAGCACAACACTTGGCTGAAGCCATCAACAACAACAACTGTCAGCTACGCACGTTAAACCTCTCATACAATCAACACATAACAAGCAAGCAACACGTACGTAATTTACTAAGCAATAGTCAGTGTAAGCTTATCCTTTAGGCCTCAGCAATTCCAATTAAAAACTGAAAAAATTATTATAACAACTTACTATTCAAAATAACTGTGAGGTAACCAGCTCAGTGACAATTACAAACCAATAAATTAGAAACGTGACTGACAGCAAAGTGAGTGTTAGATGCGCTTGAGGCAGCGAGATTATTTGAACCGGATCGAAATGAAGAAAAATGAACCAATGAACATGTTTATTGGGAACAAAGGATGTCAAACTTTTTCTATAAACGAACCAATAACATTGAAGTAAAACCACAAACTTCCTGCAGAGAAAACAAACAAACACGGACCTCTCAGGAAACTTTGTCATTTTATGATTGGTTAGTTTCGATCCTAAATTCACTGCATGCTCATAAATGTTCTTATTGCTTGTGTATGTCGTAAGGAATAAGTTTTCTGCTGCGTTTATTGAAGCTCTTTAGGAGATTATAAGCGGATCAAATAAGTTAATATAATGCAGATTGCTTGGTACAATACATTTGTTTTATTTGTTTTAATTTTTTTGAGTGGAAGCGATCCGGTTCAAGTAGTTTCATACTTTCTACCAGTGAAATCGTAACCAAATTATAAATTGACTGGTCGCACTTAAAAAAGAGCCTTTTTGAATAGGTTTGAGGTGTAAGATTTATTTCATGTAATCGAAAAAATTTTTGCGGTTTTCGCCGTTGTCATAAATATTGAGTATTTTTGTACATGTTTAGGGCCTGTTTCTCGTCTGGTATGATGAAATGTTAATAAGTTGGACTACGAAATCTGATGAAGTACCAGACTCAGACAGTTAGGTTTAGCTTAAAAGTTCTTGTAAATAGAGTCAGAACTCCCAAAGTTATCAAAGTAGAATAAATTTTTTAAGCCAATTAAAACTTGAGTTGTCATATATCTATCCCTTTGGTTAGACCTAACTTGAAAGCTGTGGAGAGGGGTGGGGCAGCAGAGGGGGGAGGTGAAACCTTCTAAATATCAGACTGGAACAAAATAAATTTACAAGAGAGACATGCCTCCATTCCTCTATAGGAACACTTATCACTTACTCTTAACCCACAGAGTCCCAATATATGACTGTTAACTCTCCTCTTTACCTGTTGCAAATTTCCTTGCAATAAATTAGTAATGAGAATTTGGGGATAGATCAAGATAACCACTTTTGCTTGCAAAGTTTGTGTATTCTGATTACCTGTTTGCTGCATAATGTATGCATAATGTAGATTCTAATTCATATCCCAAACCAACAGTAAATATCTTATTCCCTTGAATGAGCACCCACAATCCTACCCCAAATAAGTTCCCACTCCCTAGGTCGTAATATCAAGCAAGCGTGCGCCCCTCCTCCCTCACTCACTAAAATAGTAGGGATACAAAGGAAACCTGTTTCTATTGCCATTCAATGTACAAATTTTAAAGCTTTAACTGAAGCAGAATCAGTAATTTTCTTAATAAGCACCCCCTCCATTAAACAAGGGGGGAGCCCTTTCCCTCCAATAGGTGCCCCTCCTTGAGACCAGTATTTTGAATAAGTTCACAAGCATTTATTCCAGGAAATGCAGTATTTTAGTAAGTTTAAAATGTAGACGACATGAAATAAATGTCACATTTTTATATCTTGAATAAATTCCTGTCCACTTACATAGAATTTTGGTCAAAATTAATCAAGTGGGACACAAAATAACCTTTTTTTGTAAAACAAGATTTACAGAAAAAAAAAATAATCAGAGACATATATGAAATCTACCTGTACAAACTCTGTCTGAAAAACCAATCCTTTCTTTAATTTCATCCAAATGTGTTACAGAATAACCATGTGTACTTTTAAACTGAAAATTATGTATTAGGCTTCTGCATATCATTTCCCTCCAAAAATATTTACCCTTTTACTCTTAAAATTAATCAAAAAGAAATTTCTTCTTTCAACACAATTCATTCACTAAGCAGAAAGGTAATGACAGTGAGGCCAAGAGAAAGAATAAAACATCAGAAACTCATGGCAATTAGTTTGAACAACAAGAAGCAGAGATGTCAGTTTTTTCGCCCCTTTTTTTCAAAGAAATCTGTTTGAATGTTTTCCAAGCTTAATAGCTTCTTGCCTTTTTTACTCCTTCTTGCTTCAAAATTTCAAACAGTCAAAAAACTGGCTTACTGCAGGTGTGATGCAAAAAAAGAAAAAAAAAGACTGTGTTTTCATAACACAATAATGTCCTTTGATGTTATACCTGACTGTGGAAGATATGTTTCTGAACAAATTGTCACCAGAAGTAGCCTTTATGATCTCAATTTAATTTACAACTACACATACATAATCTAAAAAAATATTGATTAAAAACTTTTAGGCTTATTTTCCATTGCATATGCTAGACATAATAAGCCTTTTCACAGTTATGTACTTAATTGTCAAGCCTTTAATTTGGAGTGAGGCTGAAAGTGACCTTGTTGTAATAAAGACCAGTATCTAGTTAGCATAATAATAAAGTAATTTACATTTGAAAAGCAGCAAGGTTTGTATCTTAACAAGGTCACTCTTAGCCTCACTCTAGTTCAAAGGCCTGGCAACTAAGCATGCAACTGTAAAATGGACTATTGCCTATAATTAAACCTGTGTTTGCTGCAAATAATATTCTATGAAACCTTTCCTCCCCTTATCTCATTTATTTAAGCAATTCTCTTTACAGTCTGCCTTACAATTCTTGTGATATTAGTTCTGAGAATTAGGTATTGGAACAACTACTAATCCATACTTTTCTTCATTCTTATCACTGCTGATATTGTATTAATGTATTGATAACATCAGATTGCTTTGTGACTTCCAGATTTTGATTTTTGACTGATTGCCAAATGCTTGGCAAAGACTTGAACATTAGGTGAGGTTTACACCCTTGGCTTCTTCACTTGATGATGAGAACTGTCCACAATATTGTCTTCCAACTCCTTGTACCTGGCTGTCAGTAGGTTGTAGATGTTCTGAGCATCACATGAGGGCTCTGCTACTTTTATATAAGGTGGTGCTCCACTAACCACATCCATGAAAGACCTGCCATTACTACACTCCCAGCCATGCTTAGCACGGTATGCACAACCCAGACAAGCTGAATTGGCTGTATCTTGGATGGCAAAGACAGGAGCATAAAACACATCAGCTATTACTTGAAGTATGGCAAGATTTGATGATGCACCTCCTGTTGCAAGTATGCGTGTAGTTGAACCTAACAACAGAATAATAACGAAATTATAGCCTTGCTGTGTAGGGGTTAGTTTGGTATATTCCCCAGAAGATAATCAAAACAGCCTTATTTTATTAAGCACTCTCCAATTGACTCAAGCTCAGCTTCAAATTTTCCACTTTGACTACTTTTCATTTGACTAGCTTTATTGCAGTTGTGCTACTCAAAATACACATTAGTTGAACAAGGAATTTGGTGTTAAATCAAGATAACAACTTCTGTCTTAAAATTTTGAGTATTCTCATAACCTCTTTGCTGGATTAAGTATGGATATTACAGGCCAAGATAAGTTACATGTTAATCACTTCTAGGAGTTGCAGGGTTAAAAACAAACAAGAATACAGAGCAATAATAATTATTTTACTAAATAAGAATATTAAGGAACACAATGATAATCTGGGATCATACTATTTACCTAATGAGTACCCTAGGGCTTCTGCATGAGCTCTCTTAGCCATGATCTGTCCCTCAACAAGTGCTCTCACTTCTATTTCTTTTGAAAATGAATCAACTCTTTCCCCCTTATCATTAAAACGATGAATTCCAACAGCAAAAGGTGTTATTTCTGTGGCTGCAAAATAGATGCCAATGTTTCCTTTATTGCCACGATCAGTGTTCTTCAAAGCTTTATTGAAAATTTCCCAGGAGTTGTCTGCTGAAGAGTCTCGTATGGACTCTCTTGTCAAGGACCCATTCTTGAAACAGAGAAGAGCCATGTAGGCATTTTCTACAAGGAAGAAAAATATATTTTCAGATTTTCACACTGTTGCCTTGCTGGGAAAGAAATACAGATGATAAAAATGATTTAGTAGTTTTGCTTTCATTCTACAAAAACTTTTGACAGTGTTACTAACAGTTGCAAGTAAAAAAGTCATAAGTAAAATTAGAGTTGGCCATTTCTTGCAGGATAAATGATATAAGTCACATTATCTACCATGGGATGTTTGTTACACAAACAATCCAGTATTTGTCTTTATTTGTTGTAAATGAAAGTAATAACAATAATTGATAAACTTATATAGTACATGCTACATGACATAATGATCATGTGTGCAAAAAATATAAAACAACCATAATAAACTAAGCAAATAAAATATGATAAAAAAACCTAGAATCACTGAAAAATTATACAAATGAAATGCTATAAAACAGAAGTTAAGACTAAAATCATGTAAAAACTGATATGGCTTAAAAATTGCTGATACCATAAGAAAAAATACTATTTAAAATTTTACAGACATCAGGAAAGCACTAATTTGAAATCATGGGTCTAAGGCAAACATTTAAAATTGCCAAAAGTAGAGGCTTATTTTATTTCAGTTGGAGGTGAGTTCCAAACTTTTGGTGCGGCCATGCTAAAAGAGTAAATAATCACCAATTTTTGCATAAGACTTACATAATGGATTATTTCAGTGACTTTCTTTGGTGGATCACAAAGAATAACTTGTCCCATACATATAGTAGAGGTAAGATCAGTTATGTAGGACTGTACCAAGCCACATATGGCCTTATATTTTAAAAGCACTATTTTGAAATTAATCCCTATGTGAATGGGTGACCAATGAAGCTTCATAAGGAGAGGGATAGCGATTCGTTAATTAAGTTACTATTTGTTTACATCTCCTCTATTGCTTGAGAAGGACACATACATTTTTGGAAATCCTTACAAAAAGCTTTCAATATGAAACATTGAATGCAAACTAAATCAAATATACAATACCTTCAATTGGATTGACAAATATATGCCCCTCTAGGGCAGGCTTGGGAGTTTTGAAACATAGCATGAGTGTGTCACTGGTACCCAGACTCAATGCAATGTCCCCTTTGTCGAGCCTCATCCCCGCTAAAGAAGCAGGATTGTCACCTGTGAATGCCACAACCTTACAATCAGGACTGAATCCATATTCTTGCACCATGTACTGTGATATATGGCCAATTATTTCATAGGAAGGTACCAAGTCCCCAAGCTTCTCCCTCAAATTTGGTGCACATGCCTGTCCAAAAATAACAAAAAAATTGGACAAAGATTCCACATTGATCAATTGCAATTTCCAAAGTCTGTTTCAATCTTCTACAATTTGAAGTTACATTGGGTACAACTGAACCATGAACCAAAGCAAATCTGGTTGGATTACAAAATTGTCATCACTACCCACTATATGGAATTTGAATTTGATGCTCATCAAGCAACTATCCTATATTTCTCCAAAATTTGTCCTTAACTCTTTTTCATTTGTCAGGTCAAAGAGTGGTAAACTAAAATGGAAACCAAGGGAAAAACTGGTGTAAGGCTGCTTGGTTAGCACTTATGGTGAGTGAATCTAGATGAAACTAAGAATTTAGATAGATAGATAGTTTATTTAAATATACCTAGCAGCCTTGCGGCTGAATTGCGTATATTACAATAATGTAATTAAATAAATATATTATATAACTATATATTCTTATATATAAGAATATTCAAAATTATAAACAATTAAAAAATCTATGAGCTAAAACCTATCTATATTTAAAAGCTATATTTACATTATCTACATAGGTTTCTAGGAAACGATCATTAATTAACTGTTGTTGTTATATTTAATGGTGGAGGCCATCATGAAGGTGTTTTTAAACCGGTTTGTCCTCCACCGGGGGATTTCAAAACGCCTGTTACGTCTTAAATTGTGCTTTGGATGGTTGGCACTAGGCAACAATTCACGAAGCCTGTGATTGTCGTTTTCGATAATGTTGCTAAAGAGACATTATCGAAAACGACAATCACAGGCTTCGTGAATTGTTGCCTAGTGCAATTTGTAAACTGGTGCACCTCCAAAGGGTGGTAAAGTTGTTCTACATTATGCTTTTTCACTTATTTCCATGTACAGGCTCTAAATGCTTGGTAACTCAAAAAATAAACTGTGCTCTGTTAAACCTACTGTTAATGCTCCATTTATAGTTCTCAAATTATAGTTTTCATTGTATCAGACAATGACAACCAGGGTGTGTGACCAGTCCAAGCTTTTGTCTGTCAACCCTCAAATTTACTAGACATATCAGGGCATGAAATTAATTTTTTTTTCTGATAGCCACTTAGCTCCCAAATTCTTCAAAGCGGTAGTCAATTCGAAAAAAGTTGGTTGCCATTTTCAAAGACAAACAAAACTGTTTTTTTTAATGCTGTCAGCATTCTAGATAGACCCTCCAAAATTAAGTTAGTAAAAAGATCTTTAACCTGCAACAAAGTGGACACTAGAATGGAAGATATACAATGCTCAAGCTCACCTAAATCCAAGATGGCATCTAGTTATTGATCAAAATGCATGTGCTACATTTTGGAAACAAACTTAACAAGGAAGTTTGCCACAGATCTATCTTTGCAAATCTTGGTAAAATTTCCGTACCGCCCCATACTATTGTAAAACAAATTTGTTCTCCCAATGGCAATGTATTGTTTTTTTAATTGTTCTCTCTATTAAAGAACTGAATGCATATTAATGTAGTGCAGGGCTGTGTGGAAATTTTACCCAAATCTATTTAATTCACTGTATCTTTAAGTAGGGTTATGATGAAACATTCTGGTTGCCAATTTGATGACTAATTTTCAGGATTTGATCACCAAAGTGAAACATTGGCACCTGTAGTAGGCACCATTTCACGCCATGCATATGCCCCATAACATCATTTTAACTCTACCAGAAGGTAGTTGGTTGTGTAAACAAGCAGCCAAATACATTGTTAATTTTAATAGCTCAATAAATCAATAACTCATCAGATTTCAAAGATAAACAATACAAATATATTGCCTGAGTCTTATTGTGAGGTCTATCATCTAAAGCTGACTTAAATAATATCAGAGTTGGTATTCTTTATGATTGTAACTTAGAAAGTTTTAACTGGAATGATCAACAAACCTCTAGGCACTTGTCTTCCCAAGTTTTACTGTGAATATTCATCAGATTCATTCCAGATCCATCACTAAAATCAATTGGTGCATAGTCACCAATCAAAAGACTAGCAGCAAAGCTGCTAACCAGGGAAATCCTCTCACACATGTTGTATGCATCAGGTTCCAACTCATATATCTTGGCAATTTGATTTCCTGTGAAGCGTTCATAAGCCCTTGAGCCTGTAATATCACTAAGTCTTTGTGGGCCACCAACTGCATCCTCTAAATTTCGGCATTGTTTTCCTGTACTTGAATCCATCCATATGGGAGAGTCCTTGATAGCAAATGAATCCTAGAAATTGAAATTTGATGAGAAAAGAAAACACTTTAAGTGTATGATGTCTCAGACAAATAATAATCAATTTTTTTCCTCAGGATTGTGTAGGGAGGTACCATATGACTCTTGATGCTTTGACTTAATGCTACTGGCAGCATGCAGTCAAACATCTGCATTTTTAATCAAAACTTTGCACATTTCTAGACAAGCAATGACAATTAACAAAGTTAACTATACAAACAGACACTAGAATATGGCAACAATAATACTGTTTCCTCTTAGTGGTGAAATTTAGAGGGAAACATAATTACCTACAAATAAAATAAACATCCGTTACAAAATAAATTAGCTAGGTGTATTGCTTTCAACTTATGTCACACTTTCAGCTTAAGTATTTAAAAAGCCCTCAGAACATGAGAACCATCATCATAAGAAGACCTTTAAGGTGACAGGATTGGCTTTCTCAATTCACAAAGGAAAATGATTCAGTGATCAGTTCAACAACAATACTCTGGGCACCTGAAGACAGGCACATGCATTGTAAGCCTGAGAACATAAGGCAGTATTCTATTGGAGAAACTGAAAAAGGAGACTTAAACCACTCCATGGACATAATCCAAAAACTGGCTGAGGCTTATAACAGTGGAATACCTTTGCCACCATCTTGCATTCCAGTGGGTACTCATAATGATAGTGAGTGAGAGAGTAAATGAGTGAATAAGTGAGTGACTTATTGAATCGGGACCATTTAACCCTGTAATGAACTTGCATCCCATTAAAGGAAGAAGTCCTCTGCTATCCAACAAACTTCCAGGTGGACAAAGCCACTGTGAGAGTTAAGTGTCTTGCCCCAACATTTAACTCAATGATCCGCCCTGAGCATAAACTCAGTCCTTTTATTGAGGAATCCAGCCCTCCAACCACCACAACAGTGCAGCATATCTCACAGATTTGTCACAACCATCACTATTTAATTTATCAAAATTAAAAAAAGGGGCAATGTTCGGAAGGAACAGAATAAAGTGAGTGCTCCAACCATACATAGGTGCACACCCTGTACCTGGAATTGGTCATATAGAGATTTTCCACTTTGCAAGTTTTTCAATGTCTCTCTTGCTCCATTTTTCCAATAAACACTGCCATGTTGTTGTCCTGTTCCAGAAACACAAGCAATAGCTCCGAATTCCAGACCATTTTCTTTCAGTCTTTTTAAAACAAGGTCAAACGCTTTCACCCACAATAACGTTGGCGCTGTAACAGTTAGCTTATCTTTGTGTTGATGAACGCCGCCCTGCGTTTTAAATTCCGGAAAATCGTTATCGAAGTGCACAGAAGCCTCTGTCACAACTTTAAGATCTTTGTCGATAACTAGTGCTTTCAACTGCTGCGTACTTAAATCAAATCCCATAAAGAGGGGAGCAGCCATCTTGTTTCCTTCCGGAACTGGTTGTTCGCAAGTAGTCGGAAAATAATCGTAAATGAGATTCCAGGGCATGCGCGTTACTTCTGATGACCGCGTGCGCTGCCATTTTGAAGCGTTCAGTCAATGTTTGGTGGCTGTCTAACGATCCTTTGCAGTTTTGCATCAACAGTCGACCGATGCCTACTAAACTATTCGTAGGGAACATCTCAGAATCATGCAGTGAAGACGATCTTAAGGAAGCCTTCGAAAAATACGGTACCATTGTGGAGCATGCAATAGTTCGAAATTATGCATTTGTGCATTTTGAGAATAAAGAGGACGCCGAAAATGCGATAAAAGAGCTACATGAAACGGAGCTGAAAGGCAATGTTATTAGAGTATTAATGTCAACCACTCCACATAAGAAGGGCAGGGGAGGTGGAGAAGGAAGAAATCCGTACCCAAGAGACAGAGCACCGGGGAATTCTCGAGGTCCTCCTCGAGGTGGAGGCGGCAGTGGTTACTACCCTCCCGAAAGAAGCCGCTATCATCCATACTACGATCGCGAGTACTACAGACAAGCACCCTATCCTTCGTCATACAGTCGAAGTTCTTATGGATATTACAGTACATACGACAGTGATTACAGGGACTATCAGCGGTCTTATCCGCCTTCATCATATTATTATGGAGACAGTAGATTTGGCGGGCCTGTTACTTACCCGGACACATCGAAGAGGCAATCGTGGGATCGTTAGCAACCTAACTTGGTTACAGTGCCCTTTTCTTAAAAAAGGGAAAAAAAACCAATGGAGGTCAGTTTGTCCTTGGGCATAAAAAAGTGCTGTTTTTTGGATTGTAAGGTGCTTTTTTTTTACTTTTGTCTACACACAAGAATGCATGCTGTATACCATAGGAATCGTTCAGACAGGATAAGTGGTAAATCATTATTTGTAATAAATTATACCTACAGAGATGGTCAGCAGAGATCCTGGTGACTCTGATGGCCGCACTTCTTTTAGGCTGTTATCTTTTCTGTGTATACTTGTTCAACTGCCCACTAATTATGTTTATACTTTTATTTAGTTTTGTAAGTGAAGATACAACCATCCCAGAATTAATAATTACACATCTTTGCCTTCACCATATGGCAACCTTAATCCTAAACATATTGCAGGATAGGGAAAGTCCTTGATATCCAATGACATACAGGCTGTTTGTTTTTGTAATATGCAAACTTGAGACAAATAGCAAAGTTGAATCTTTTCCACTTGTGCTCACTAGACTTTGTTTTGTTTGTTAACCCTTTAACTCCCAGATCAAATTTGTAATTCTTCTTACTGTCAACCATACAATTCTTTCAATGTTAGTACAGAGAATTTAGTATTTGATCAGCAAATAATCCCCAAATTGATATTTTTCTTTATTCTCATTTATCTGGTTGAAATTGTATTGACATTGTAAGGAGAAATTCTGTTCTGGTCACTTACGGGAGTTAAAGGTTTAATTGTGAACATTCTATGTTGTGTTTTATCAACATTAGGATAAATTCTTCTATATTGTTAGGCCAACCTCATTAAATATTTTCACCTCCCATTGCCTGGCTGATCCATTTGTTTTTAAGAAAGAATCAAAAAGGAAAAGAAAAAAAAAGAATTCCATTTGTATTGACTAACTTGCCAAATTTTCTAAAGTAGATTCTCAATTTAATCAAGCCTTTAAATCAGAAACTTTTGAGTTAGGAAAGCAATTTGAAGGGGGCAGCACCCATATTTTTCTTTTCCAGGACCCACTGACCTACTTTCTTTATGAGGATGGTCTAATTATTCCCTGGCTTTCCTTATTTTCCATACAATGTTGATTGTGGTTGGCTGTCAGAGATTTAACTGGAAGGAAAACTATTATTTGTGAAAACTTTTCTAGTTCTTTTATCTCTTCAAGATTCACACCATGTAGTTGACATAATTTGAGATTAGTTCTGTTCCAATAGTTGTGAAATTGTATAGTTCTTTCCTGTTGAAATCTAAGTACTCAAGGTATCCTGCAAAGGGGCTTTGTCCAAGTAGATGCTAGGAACTGTTAAAACTTTTAACTTATATTACAAACATTTCTCAGTTAATCTCTAAATAAAATAGGAAAAAATGTGGTGAAACCCCTGCTTTGTTGATTGTAACAACGGTATTCCCACATTTTAATATTCTTATTTTCCATACTGTTATCCCTTTAAGAGCGCTTGTCTGTAAAAATCAGACAAATTCCAAATTTCGCGGCAAGGGTGAAAAATTCGATTTCTTTCTTATTTTAATATTAGATAGGCTAGACTATAACTAAAATCACTGGATACTTTTTTTAGCAAAATATCTTTTTATTTCAGAGAAAATACAAATAACAAAATTCCGTTAAAATCGTCATTTTTAGAAGCAAATTATTGCTCAAGTTTGAGGGCTTCGCATTCAAAAACAAATCACAATCTCGTCTTTTTAACACTCAAATCTTCTTTTTCAACCTCAACCTCACAAAACGATTTTTGTATACACTGCGTTCCTCTTTGCATGTAAAATAATTTAATTTCGAAAGCATACATTTCTCTTCAGTAGAAGTACTTTGTGAGCAAAGTTAATTTTCAGCATGTGCTAAACCTTCAAATGGATTAAGCTTTGGGCTGTAGAATAACGAAAAGATGTTCTCAATATTACTGTGAAAATTTCTTTGGGCAAATGATTGAGAGTGATACGAAAGCTTTTCAAAGTCTGTTAAAATGCAGTTATTTGACCTTTCGCGGTCAACATTCCAGTGGCGAGTCACACACATACTTTAATATATTAATTGTTCCTTTACTTTCATGCACCGAGAATATCGCAAGTCACGAGTCGGCTTTCAAATTTACCGGTCCTGAAGATGAGATCGACCTTATTTTGTGCTGAGCGCACATATGTCGGCCCCTCTGTAGTTTAAGGTTTTAAACGGTAGTTGGGTCTGTTAACAGTGGTTAATAGTACCACTCCCTTATGCAAGCCCCACCCATTGGCCACGGAACATAGCACCCCAGCCTCACATAAGCCACACATTCCCACCACTACGTTTTGTAGCATGGTGTTGTAAAAATGTACAAAAGGTTCTCTTTCATGCTATTAGGGTATTTCTTGCAATTTTATTGGAAAGAAAAACACCCCTAATAAGTACGACAGGCACAGAGCGCCAAAAAAACAAGAATAATTCCCTGCAATAAATAAATGTATTTTACTGTTTGTCACCAGACAACGATGACACTATTATAAAAATGTTTACAAAATAAAATATTTTGTAGGTTCCAAGAGTTCAATTCTGGAGTTTTGCCCTTCACCTACCCCCTAAAGTTCCTTTGTCACCGGTATTGCGTGACAAGCCAAATACTCAAAGGGCACACATGTTTGTAGTTAACTCAGTTTAGCATTGAATTATACTGTCAGATGTAATCTTTTAGTGCATTGTAAACTGAGCAATACTCGCAGTCAACTGAACCGTTGAATAAGACGCCACAGTGAAGAAAGATATCGAACGTTTGACAACAAGATGGTGTTCGACAGGGTTGGTGGTTTCATCGGACGTTATCATTTATACAGACCTAAATACGACGAACGACAAGAGAATCACACTAAAATGGTCTCTGGATTGGTCTTCTGTGACAAATGAGGTTAGAGCATTTGGAAATATCTTTCTATGTACATTTTTCGGCCTCATATGGGTTGAAACATATTAAAATATGTGTGACTCGCGACTGGAATGTTGACCGCAAAAGGTCAAAAAAATAACTGCATTTTAACGGACTTTGAAAAGCTTTTGTATCGCTTCAAACATTTGCCCAAACAAAATTTTACAGTTATGTTGAGAACATCTTTTCAAAATTCAACCACCAAAAGCTTAATCCATTTGAAGGTTTGGCACATGGTGAAAATTAATTTTATTCACGAAGTATTTTTACTGAAGAGAAATGCATGCTTTCGAAATTAAATTATTTTAAGCGCAAAGAAGAGCGCAATGTTTACAAAAATCATTTCGTGAGGTCTTATGAGAGCGAAAAAGATGATTTTAGTGTTTAAAAGACGAGATAGTGATTCGCTTTTGCACGCGAAGCCCTCAAACTCGTGCAATAATTTGCTGCTAAAAATGACGATTTTAACGGAATTTCGTCATTCGTATTTTTTCTCTGAAATAAAAAGATATTTTGCCAAAAAAAGGATCCAGTGATTTTAGTTATAGCCTAGCCTATCAAACATTAAAATAAGAAAGAAATCGAATTTTCCACCCTTGCCGCGATATGTTTGATTTTTACAGAGAAGCGCTCTTAACTCCTACGAGTCACCAAGATAATTTCTCCATACAATGTAAATACTGTGTCAAGCAGAAAAATTTTGAGAAACATGAAAACATCATTGAGGGGATTATAAGTTCATCCAATACCTAGCCTGAGTATTAGACTTTCCAAGGGTGTCAAGGTGGTATGAGATAGAAGGGAAAGCCTTCCACCTGCTCTTGCTTGGCCCCACCTTCCCTTCTGTTGGAAGGCCTTATACTTAAGGTATCCAATAACAGATTTAGAGGCAGTTAGGAAAATTACGAATGAGATCTTGAGGGTGAAATGGTTAAGAGCTTCCTACTTTTTTTTTAGCTAGAATTCCTTGTCCTGCCATCTGTCATATGATTAAATTTGAATTTGCTTTTTCCTTGTCCTGCCATCTGTCATATGATTAAATTTGAATTTGCTTTTTGCCAGAAGAATTACAGACCTCTTAGAAGTGACTTGATACAAACACCTTTTGTCAGAGGATTACAAAGCCAAATATCTAATTTAAACGAATTATGCTCTGTGTTCTTGGTATGAATACAACCTGTGAGATTTATTAATCTTTGTTAACATCTATACCACAAGACCAAAGTTACTGCCCTGTGGGAAAGTATTTGTTTGGGAAGGTGTTAAAGTTGGATGTCACTATTTTGTCATTGAATTTCTTTCAGTCAATATTCATCGTTTTGTAAACTCAAAAGTATATCAACAAAGCATTGTTGTAGATTTCCTGCACTCTTTGTTTTATTGAAAAATTAGGGTGGTAATGTTTGGCCTGTTTTGCTTCCTTGTATGAATCTTGTGACTGAATCAGGGATGCATTTATTTTGAGAACTGATATTGTAATCACCCTTCATTTATCACAAAGAGAAAGTTTAACGCATTAAACGTCGCAAAAAATTTATGTAATCTGTTGAGTGAAATTAGTAGATTGCCAGAATAAAGTTTGTTTTAATTACCGGTAAATCCTCGAAAAAATTTGGAAGCGAGGGCCTCTATTCTTCCCACAATGCAACGAGGGCTGCCAGAGAAAGGGAGAGAGTGATCATGGCGGATGATAAGGTTCCAGAAAGCTTTGAGTTGCGAGAAAACAATTGAACAGTTTGTAGAAACAACACGTCAAATAGGAATCATTGTCAGTGATTTTCAACCTGGAAGTCAAGGTGTTCTTAATCAGAAAATGTAAGCGACCTATCTTCGAGCGTTCCATGTATAATTTCGGGATGGATTGATACAAAACCGTGATCGCTTGAAATGAAAGCGAAAACTTGGCTTAAATGTATGCTTAAATATGAATGTTCGTCTCCCTCTGTAACTGTTAACATTGGGATTTCGTCAGTCACCTTAAAGAGTGCTAGTTGATCATGAGTAATCTTGCCAAACAGCAGATCGGAATTAATAATTATACACAGATTCCTCCTTCCAGTTGCCTATCCACGTCTTATTAGTTTAATCTGTTTTTTGTTTTGTTTCACAAACTCGATGATGGAAAACATGAGGGAAATAGAGAAATGTAAAGCACATGTTCAAGATGTAGAGGTTCCGCTGGAAGTATTTGAGTGAGTGCTTTGCTTTTGATTTCCATGTAAACTTATTATAACAGCTGATCATTATAACTAAGACCAAGCAATCATTAAAGTCAAGTATGCCACGAACATCATACTATTTTTATACACGGCATTAAAAAGGAATGCATAGAAACATTATTTTCACTGCGTTTTGAGGTTGCAAAGTGTAATATAACAGTTAAAAAAATTGTATTAAACCGTATTTCCTGAAGTAAGTGCCCAGGCGCTAGTCAAAATTTCGGCTTAAAGGAGGGGTGCTTATTGGAAGGAGGACGCTTATTCAAGGGAGCCCTTGTTAAAAATTTTCCTTTCAATGAAATGAAACTTTATTTTGGCCTCAAAAAACTACAAACATTGTCCACGCAGATGTGAAGTCAATATGGTTGTGTTCAGATTGAGCTATCATTCATTACAGAGCTTTCAATAAGACCCCAGCACTATTAAAACTATATTAAACTGTCTTTTAAATCGTAGAGTACATTAACTAATGAATTAACACCAGTTAATATGAATTTTTTAGATCATGATATGTAAAAACATTGAAATGTGAAAGTGCCATGAATACAGAGTGACTTATTTTTTAATCAGGAGATTCATAGACAAATATATTGACCAAAGTATTTCAAAACCTTGAGACGGTTCGTCAAATGTTCCCAAAAGGAGTAGAAGCGATTTTAGCACTCATGAAAGAATCTGTTATCGGAAAATGCTGTTTCTTGCATTTAAACTGAAGCAAGATACATGCATCTGGTATGAAATAATAGAAGTTTTACCGACAACTCACGAATAAGGTGGGTTTAAATATTCAAAATATTCATCTATCAGGTCCATTTAACGGCTAACCGGTTTATTTTTTATTTTTTTAGAACAACAGTGCTTAAATAAACGATAAAATTTATTTCAAATATTTCAATGAATCAATTTTTAGCAAAAATTTGTTTTCTGCAAAATCACCGAAGAAGTGTGCGTTGGTCAGACGAAACTTATCGGGATATCAGAAACATCCTTTTTTTCAGAACTTTTACGTTTGAAGCCCAGCTCGAGCGCTAGCGGCCGTCTAGTTTTACGCTCCAAAGTTAAGTCCAATGAATTGTCTCTGAATTGTAAAACGAGTGATAGAGCCTAGTGATTGTTTATTCATAGTATATCACGACTCAATTTGTACAGAGGAACATCATTTGACGGCTGTTATTAATCCACTTTCCTACCGATTTATAACATTCTGAAGTTTTGAAATTAACTGACGATTAACCCTATTGAGGATTTCGTTAATCATTTGGTTTCGTAATCATTCGGGAAATAACTATAAGGATAATCTTCAGTTTTGGAAATCCCTTATAGGTTGTCCAATAGAGGAACGTATGACGGCTGGGTTTAAATGCATAGTTTTAGTTTCGAACAGGAATGTCTTTCATGATAAGGCTCACTGATAAGTAACGGTTTGCAGGTATCATACGAGTCAAAAGAGAAAACATGTAGTATTACAGACTCTTTGGAAAAATAAGAGTCGAGCGATTGTCATGTTGAAAAGCTTGAATACCGCGGGCTCATTGAAAAGCCCGGGCCTTGCACAAAGGTGAGAGTGAAAGGAGAGTTTTAAGTCTTTCATTTCTTTCTGTGGTGACGTAAGAAGTCTCAGCCAAATTTTTTCGCCATACTTAATTGTTTCCTTGACGCGTCTTTCAACGAAATTCATAGCATCTTATTCAATAGAGAGAGAGAAAATTTGACATAACCAAAACATATCTGTCCATTTCATTTTTCTGCGTCAGTTTCCAATATCAGCTTCCTGTGTAGCCGAGAAAATGATGGCGTGCGAAAACAAAACATGTAAGTTTGCCAAAAGTTAAAATTTTAGTTTTGTTCATAAACTTTTGTTTAAACCTGAACAATCGAGTAACCAGAAGTCCTAAACCTAAGGTATAGAGCGATTTTCATCTAATCGAAAATACAAACAGTATTGAAACGATGGATACTCTCAAGGAATTACTTGTGCCAAAAGCATTCAACAAATATAGCCACTTCGCAGTCGTTTCTATTTGGTTCGTGATGGGTGCAACCTTCCTCGGCATTTTTATTGAAGTGGAAAACACCGAACCCAGGTTTGATTTCCGTTGTGGAGGAGCGAAGACTGAAAACATTGATCTCGTCCGTGGAAAATGTTTCCAGCAATACATGAAGCAGTACAACAAATACGGTGTTCCCGTCTATGGCTTCGTGATCATCAATTTCTGCCTTATTGCTGCTGTATATGCTGTGTACTCCCAAATAGTGAAAAATACAGTCAATGAACTGTCGTCAAGCACTCGCAACGGTGACCCTGAGAGCCAGTCGGGCGACCAAGAGAACAAAAATTCTAAGGGAAAACAGCTTTTCATCGCTTACTGCTGCCAACTATCCACGAGACTTGTTTTAGGAGTTCTTTTCATGATCCTTCAAACTCAGTTGCTTTATCCTCTCAAGTTTTCCTATACGTTTGACTGTTATTTACCCTCCAGAACCAATCAGCCAAGGAATTCATCGGACGCCACCCAAAACTCTGCTTTTTACGAATGTAGCAATCAACGAGCGGAAAAGAAAACCTTCTGGATGAACGCTATTCTTGTAGTGAATGGAATTTTGGTCGCTGGCATTCTTATTGAAACCATCTACATTTTGTCACGGGCATGCATAGAAAAAAAGTTCATGAAAAACTCAAAGTTTCTTGAAACACATCTAAATCCTAGTCATGGAAAATCCCATCAGAAACCTCAAAGGCAAGAAGAAAGAATAGAACAAGTTTCACAACAGTTACGAGTGCATGAAAACTGTTCGACCCGAGGCGAGTTGCACCTAGAACCTCAGAGGCAAGATGATGTCGTCCAACCACAACCACACGAGCGTGAACACCGTCCAACCCAAGTCGAGTTACACTCAGAACCTCAAAGACAGGATGATGTTGCATCGAGAGAGCGAGAACACCGTGCGACGCAAATTGAGTCCCACCAAGAACCTCAAAGACAAGATGATGTTTTCCCACTACAACCACGGGATGAAATCGAGTCGCATCAAGAACCTCAAAAGCCGAATAGAAGGAGCGGACATGATGATGTTCCTCTAACACAAAGGGAACCAGAACAGCTCCAAAACTCAAATCTTCAACGATTCATTGCGAAAACAAAGGAAATAATCCAAGAAGACACCCAAAACCTTTTTGAGCTCCAATCACCTTTTTTAGGAAACCCAGGCGAACAAACGGCAGTTAAACATTTGACTTTGGATCAGATTTACACAAATCTTACGGTTGTTAATGATAGAGATACATATGACTTTACTGAAGACAGACAGGAGCAACTCAAAATTTATCCAAGGTCGCGCAAGGGAGAATCACAACCCAAAGGCTTAGAAGACCTCCTAACGGATAAAAGTAAGAAAGTTTTGGTTGTTGGTCGTCCCGGAATCGGCAAAACATTATGTTGTATTAAACTTCTCAGAGACTGGGCATTTGATGACGTTTTTAAAGCGACATCTAATGCTGAAACGCACTTTGACGCTGCCTTCTTTGTAAAATTCAGGAGATTCAACTCAACCGACGTCCTGAACCTCAGGGAACTATTGATTCAGTCAGAGCATTTTCCCCCAGACCACCTGGATGATAAAGTCTGGAAATACATCCTGCAACACCCTAAACGCGTCATCATACTTTTTGACGGATTCGATGAATTCAAACATGATGCTAAGATCGTTCAGTCGCCTCCTCGTCCCAGCGTAGAACAGCAAATGCCGCTCCGAATCCTCTATCACTGTCTTGTGCACGGAAAACTCCTCAAAGACGCCTCAATTGTGACCACAACAAGACCTACGGCTTTGCCGAGTATCAGACGCCTTCCATTCGACAAAATCTGCGAGATTTTGGGGTTTTCAACAGAGCAAATTGAAGAATATGTCTACAAATTTACGGGAGACGACAAGCAAGCAGGCGAAACACTTTGGCGACACATCAACAGCAACATGAACTTACTTTCGCTCTGTTATATCCCAATGAACAGCTTCATCGTGTGCTCAAGTCTGTTCCAAATATTGCAGTTCGAAAGTTCCGCGGGTGTTACCCTCCCCTCCAAATTAACCGAGATATACAATATTGCCGTGAAAGTGTTTTATTTCAGACACACTAAAGAATTCCGCGATACTGATTTCACTCGTGAACACTTTGAATCTGATGAATTGTCCTTAGATGTGGAGGAGAAATTCGAGAAACTAGGAAGAGTGGCGTTTGAAGGAATCAAAGAAGGAAAACTGATCCTTGAAGGAAACGAAGTGCGCGGAATGGAAGACAACGCGCTTTTTCACCGCTTACCCGATCGTAAAACCAGCGCGCTCAAACATGAACGACAATTCTGTTTCATTCATCTGACAATGCAAGAGTTTTTCGCTGCGAGGCACTTGGCAAACAACACGAGTGAAACAGAATTGAGGAACTTTGTTTCCGAGAACATCAAGAATGGTAAATGGCAGCTGGTTTTTCAGTTTCTGGCGGGACTAATGGAGGATAAAGTTCACTTACCAAGCGAAATCATCACTGACCTTCTTCCTGTGAAAACTGAAATGAAAGAAAGCGCCGACTACAAAGAAGAGTGGACAGAGAATAAAGACAAAATGGTGACCTGCTGGCCGACTGAAGACGAACGGGATTTAGCGGTGACGTTTTTTAAATGTAGTAACGAAAGTGATAAGATGGAGTCGATAGTTCAGAGAAAACTTCAACAAATTAACTTTAATTTTGTAAATTTTATTCGTGGTCACCTCACAGCTGTTGATTGCTCTTCGTTAGTAAATGTAATTAAGAATGTTCAACAAATTTCACATTTAGATTTGAGTCACAATAACATAGGTCCATTAGGTTGTTTTGAGATTTGTAAATTGTTAAAATGTAAGGAATCTCAACTGAGCTGGTTAAACCTCAAACACAATCAATTGAAAGATGAAACAGCAAAGTATTTAGCTGAAGCCTTCAACAACAACAGCTGTCAGCTACGCACGTTAGACCTCTCAGAAAATAACATCTCAGACATTGGAGCACAGCACTTGGCTAAAGCCATCAACAACAACTGTCAGCTACGTATGTTAAACCTCTCACTAAATAACATCTCACACCTTGGAGCACAGCACTTGGCTGAAGCCATCAACGACAACAACAACTGTCAGCTACACACATTAAACCTCTACAGAAATAATATCTCAGACATTGGAGCACAGCACTTGGCTGATGCCATCAACAGCAACAACTGTCAGCTACTTACATTAAACCTCTCAAGAAATAGCATCTCAGACATTGGAGCACAGCACTTGGCTGAAGCCATCAACAAAAACTGTCAGCTACGCACGTTAGACCTCTCAATAAATAACATCTCATACATTGGAGCACAGCACTTGGCTGAAGCCATCAACAACAACAACTGTCAGCTACGCACATTAAACCTCGCATTCAATGACATCTCAGACATTGGAGCACAGCACTTGGCTGAAGCCATCAACAACAACAACTGTCAGCTACGCACATTAAACCTCGCATTCAATGACATCTCACACATTGGAGCACAGCACTTGGCTGAAGCCATCAACAACGACAACTGCCAGCTATGCACGTTAAACCTCTCATTCAATAACATCTCAGACATTGGAGCACAGCACTTGGCTGAAGCCATCAACAACAACAACAACTGTCAGCTACACACATTAAACCTCGCATTCAATGGCATCTCTCACATTGGAGCACAGCACTTGGCTGAAGCCATCAACAATAACAATTGTCAGCTACGCATGTTAAACCTTGAAGAAAATAATATCTCAGACATTGGAGCACAGCACTTGGCTGAAGCCATCAACAACAACAACTGTCAGCTACGCACGTTAAACCTCACAGCAAATAACATCTCAGACATTGGAGCACAGCACTTGGCTGAAGCCATCAACAACAACAACTGTCAGCTACGCACATTAAACCTCTCACACAATAAAAACATCACAAAAGCAGGTAGACGACATGTACATAATTTATTAAGCAAGAGTCTGTCTAAGTGTGAGCTAATTCTTTAGGTCTCAGAAATTCCAAGAAAAAACTGAAAAAAAAAATGATTAGAACAACTCACTATTCAAAATAACTTTGAGGTAACCAGCTCAATGACAATTACAACCCAATAAATTAGAGACGTGACTGACAGCAAAGTGAGTGTTGGATGCGCTTGAGGCAGCGAGATTATTTGAACCGGATTGAAATGAAGAAAAATGAACCAATGAAGATGTTTATTGAAAACAGAAGATGTCAAATTTTTTTAGTAACGAACTAATAACATTGAAGTAAAAACACAAGGCTTCCTGCAGAGAAAACAAAAATACCTCAGACCTCTCAGGAAACTTTGTCATTTTATGATTGGTTAGTTTCGATCCTAAATTCACTGCATGCTCATGTATGTTCTTATCGCTTATGTCTGTCGTAAGGAATAAGTTTTCTGCTGCGTGTACTGAAGCTTGTTCGGAGATTATAAGCGGATCAAATAAATTAATACAATGCATATTGCTTGGTACAATACATTTGTTTTAATTTTTTTTGCGTGGAAGCGATCCGGTTCAAGTAGTTTCATACTTTCTAATAGTGAAACCGTAACCAAATTGTAAATTGACTTGTCGCGCTTGAAAAAGAGCCTTTTTTAATAGGTTTGTGGTGTAAGATTTATTTCATGTAATAAAAACATTTTCTGCGGTTTTCGCCGTTGTCGTAAATATTGACTATTTCTGTACACATTTAGGGCCTGTTTCTCGTCTGATTTGATGAAATGTTAATATTAGTTGGACTACGAAATCTGATGAAGTACTAGACTCAGACAGTTAAGGCTTTAGCTTACAAGTTCTTGTAAATAGAGTCAGAACTCCCAAAGTTATCAACGAATAAATTTTTTAAGCCAATTAAAACTTGAGTTGTCATATATCTATCCCCTATGGTTAGACCTAACTTGAAAGCTGTGGAGAGGAGTGGGGAAGCAGAGGGGGGAGGTGAAACCTTCTAAATATCAGACTGGAACAAAATAAATTTACAAGAGAGACATGCCTCCATTCCTCTATAGAAACACTTATCACTTACTCTTAACCCACAGAGTTCCAATATATGACTGTTAACTCTCCTCTTTACCTGTTGCAAATTAGTAATGAGAATTTGGAGATAGATCAAGATAACCACTTTTGTTTGCAAAGTTTGTGTATTCTGATTACCTGTTTGCGGCATAATGTATGCATAATGTAGATTCTAATTTGTATCCCAAACCAACAGTAAATATCTTATTCCCTTGAATAAGCATGCATAATCCTACCCCAAATAAGTTCCCACCCCCTTAATAGGCCGTAATATCAAGCAAATGTGCCCCCTCCTCCCTCACTCACCAAAGTAGCAGGGATACAAAGGTAACCTGTTTCTATTGCCACTTAATGTATAACTTGCTTTAACTGAAGTAGAATCAGTAATTTTCTTAATAAGCAACCCCCCTCCAATAAACGAGGGGGGGGGCCTTTCCCTCCAATAAGTGCCCCTCCTTGAGACCAGTATTTTGAATAAGTTTACAAGCATTTATTCCAGGAAATGCAGTATTTTAGTTAGTGTAAAATGTCAACAACATGAAATAAATGTCACATTTTTATATCTTGAATAAGTTCCTGGCCACTTATGTAGAATTTTGGTCAAAATTAATGGAGTAGGACACGAAATAACCTTTTTTTTTTCAAGCAAGATTTACAGAATCAGTTAACCTTGGTGTAAAAAGTAAAAAAAAAAAAATTAAAGGAAAGAAAATTATCAGAGACACAGATGAAATCCACCTGTACAAACTCTGTCTGAAAAACCAATCTTTTCTTTAATTTCATCGCAATGTTTGTTACAGAATAACCATGTGTGTACTTTGAAACTGGAAATTATGTATTAAGGTTCAGTTCATCATTTCCTCAAAAAACTGTTTACCCTTTTACTCTTAAAATTCATCAAAAATAAATTTCTTCTTTCAAAACAATTCATTCACTAAGCAGAAAGGTAATGACAGTGAGGCTAAGAGAAAGAATAAAACATCAGAAACTACCGATAAATCCTCGAAAAAATTTGGAAGCGAGGGCCTCTATTCTTCCCACAATGCAACGAGGGCTGCCAGAGAGAGGGAGGGAGTGATCATGGCGGATGATAAGGTTCCAGAAAGGTTCGAGTTGCTAGAGCAAACAATTGAACAGTTTGTAGAAACAACACGTCAAATAGGAATCATTGTCAGTGATTTTCAACCTGGAAGTCAAGGTGTTCTTAATCAGAAAATGTAAGCGACCTATCTTCGAGCGTTCTATGTATAATTTCGGGATGGATACAAAACCGTGATCGCTTGAAATGAAAGCGAAAACTTGGATAAAATATATGCTGAAATATGAATGTTCGTCTCCTTCTGTAAATGTTAACATTGGGATTTCGTCAGTCGCCTTAAAGAGTGCTAATTTATCATGAGTCATCTTGCCAAACAGCAGATCGGAATTTATTATTAGACACAGATGCCTTCTTCAATTCCAGTGGCCTATCCACGTCTTACTAGTTTAAACTGTTTTCTGTTTTGTTTCAGAAACTCGATGATAGACAACATGAGGGAAATAGAGAAATGTAAAGCACATGTTCAAGATGTAGAGGTTCCGCTGGAAGTATTTGAGTGAGTGCATTGCTGTTGATTTCCATGTAAACTTATCATTACAACTGGTCATTATAACCGAGACCAAGCAATCATTAAAAGTCAAGTATGTCACGAACATTATACTATTTTTATCCGCAGCATTACAAAAGAATGCATAGAAACATTTTCACTGCGTTTTGAGGTTGCAAAGTGTAACATAACTGTTAAAAAAATTGTATTAAACCGTATTTCCTGAAGTAAGTGCCCAGGCGCTAGTCAAAATTTCGGCTCAAAAGAGGGGTGCTTATTGGAAGGAGGACGCTTAATCAAGGGAGCGCTTGTTAAAATTTTCCTTTCAATGAAATGAAACTTTATTTTGGCCTCGAAAAACTACAAAATTGTCCACGTAGATGTAAAGTCGATATGGTCGTGTTCAGATCGAGCTATCATTCATCACAGAGCTTTCAATAAGACCCCGGCGCTCGCCAGAGTTCTGGGGATATTCTGTTGTAAATCACTGGGTATACTTGGCCACATCTAAGTCAAATTTACAGAACAAAATTTTAAAAAATCAGTAACGTAGAAAGTAAGAGGCAATTTGGTATTTTTTGGAGCATTGATCTAATCTATTTTTCAATTTCTGTGGTCTTTGATTTTTAGATTCATTCTTTCACTGGCAATTTTTTTTTCTGCTCGTTCACATGTTTTTCATAAACTTAGATGTACACATTGTCAGTTACCTAAAAAAAATTCTCAAACAATTTTGCGTTGAACTAAAATCCCCAAATATTTTTTGACAAATAAAACAACAGCAGAGGCACAGGTAATTCACATTTGGAACTTTTTTCAAAGATGTTAAGTTTCCATTAAAAAATGCTTAACTGAGGCATTACAAAGACATCCATTGAATGTTTAGTGTCTGACCTTTTTATCAAAATAAGCTTGCTGTAAAAAGCAAAGAAGACCATGGTCTTAAAATTATTGGTTAGTGGGAACATGGTTAAGTGACTTTTTGTGATTTTTCATAAAGCATGCTGAAGCTCAATTGTTTATGATCTTGTGTTAAACACGAGCTGTTGGAACAGTTAGAATTCATCGGCTGAATGATTTCATTCAATTATCTTATGTGAACATTAGTGGCTGAACGCATTAGTGATGAAAAACTTCTGCAAATGAGAATACTCCAGGGGTTTTTCCAATAAATAAAACCTATGGAGTTCATTGCTGTATATCTTTAATTTCACTCAATCACAAAATATGCATTCTGTATTTCAAGACAGAAGACACAGAGGGGGCATTTCAAATTAAAGCAGAAGAAGACTCTGTTAACAAAGATCATTGCATTAGAATGCAAATAGCTAAAGAAACTGTGAGTCGAAAAGTGATGTACAAATGGAAGACAATAGAATCTGGCTTGGCCAGGTGAAGAAAGGTTTAGATCACAACATCAAAATTTGAGAAAATGTGTACACAGAAATTTGACAGACACAATACGTTATCTTGTATTGTTTTTGTAGACTGCCTTTTGCAAGTGTTTAGTCTGTTTAGAATTATATGATGTTGGATGGTTACTTTCATTTTGGCTCCTTCTGTGACTTTTTGGAAGCTTTCAAGTAAACACCTCAAGAGCTTTTCAAGTTCATTCAGTTGACTTTTGCCTTTATAAACAAGTTTTGATAAAAATTGATTGATATTGTCTTATCATATACCACATTTTCAGCAAAAGAAGAGATTTGGGTTTCCAAGAACATACTGACTCAAATTTTGGTCACCAGTAACCATATGTCTCTGCAGAGGACTTTTGTGTGAAACCCCTGCAGCAGGTTTCCATGTCAGCAAATGAAAGATTTTGATTAGAAATAAAACAATCGGTCAAACAATTGTTACAAAGAGACAAATATTTATGATCATTTGCCAAAGTTTAACACCAAAAACTCTGTTTGAAGCCAGTCTATGTGGAATAGAATTAATGGCTTATGGGAGGGAAATCACTTTTCAAAGTATTCTCAACAAATGCTTTACTGAGGTAGCCACCTGTTTCAAATCTTATCAAAAGCACTGCGTCATCAACTGTTTTCTACAAAACCATCCCAATAAATCTATTATCTTATAAATTACTGGTCCTGGAGGACAAGGAAATAGTCTAGCTGTTCCTGGTTAATTTATGGTATTAACTGAACAGGGTAATAGGAAAAAAAATTAAAGGACAGATAACGCACATAAAGGAACTCTGTAAGCATTAGGAGATAAAAATAATTGAAAGAGAAAGTATTCTCCTTTGCTGATTTTGCTGTAATTGAAACAGAAAAAAGTCAGATTAAGTGGCAATAGAACTGTTTTCCTCATACTCCCACTATCTACATATAAGATAGTGACTAAGGAGGAGGGGGGATACTTATTCTAGAAGGGGGAGTTTGATGTTATAGCATATGGGGTTGGGCACTTATCAGTGGAAGTACAGTATGTTTGGAGCCCAGTGCTCCGTTCATAGGCTGATAAACCAGCAATTTATTTTTTTTTTAGATACTGGAGCTCATTATACCTTTGATTCAAACTTAGTAAACCGTGGTGCCATATTTTCTGATAATAGGTACATAGATCAGGGAAGAAATCCTCAGCTGTATACTAAAGACTGTCTTGAGAAAGCACTAGAAAAAAATCAGCAAGTGAATGGCAAAATAGATGCTTACAAGGTGAGTTTTCCTTTCCTGATAATCTTTGTGGGTTATCAACAGCAAGTTAATAATGGTTGGGAAACTTTTGTAGCAAAAACAAATTGGCACCATGTAAAAACACTATAAATGAGCTTCAGAGGAAAGGAGGACTACAGGGAAGGCTACTTTGCCGGAATATTCTGAACTGAGGTGAAATTCTTTGAAATTCTGAAAGATATGTGAGGAAAATGCAGTTCACCTGACTTAACACGAGAAAGGTTAAAAGCATTGCAGAAAACCTCTTCCATTTTTCTAAATTTAAGTTACAATTTTTCTCTTCCTCTTGTATTCATGCATGGCGTTCATGATTTCACAAATTGGCCAATCACATCAAAGGAATTTAACCTTGACATTTTTCATGTATTTTTAGTTTGTTTTCATGGAGTTTAAGTTGTTTTTTAGCTTCTGTTTGCGTAAATTTGTCACTGCTTTGTTTGGAATTTAAAGAAGTTTCAGAGTTTTTAATTTAGTCAAATGTTGAGGTTCATTTAATAAATTTAATACATAGTCTTTGAAAGCATCATGGGAAGATTACCTCTGAGTTTCACTCACTGTCAATGCTTGTTTTCAACAAAACTACCATGCACTGCATTGTAAGCATTTACTGAAACCATATGCTTGTTTTGTTGTGTACCACTATTAGAGTAAATGATGATGACTTTTTCCCCATTTAAACAGAACTTCAAGTCACTTCTTGTTGACGAACTTTCAAAGCATTTTCCCAAGGAAATTGATGAATACCAGAACATCAAAGAGCGGCAGATGAAGACATGATTCTGGATTGAGATTCTATTTTATTAGAATGTAATCAGTTTGTAAATAATTATGTAAATAAAATCCTGGTTGGCAGCTAAACCTCCTCTGTCTCTATGGCCTATATGCTTGTCAAGGCTGTTTACTAGTTTGGAGCCCATCGGCAAAGTTTTTAAAGTTTTTTTGACCACAAGTCATGCCTGTCACAAGCTCCCCCACCCCAACATTTAGATGTCTGCAAGGGAGGATCAAATCATGACAGCTCTACAATTACAAGGTTTACACCCACATGTGATTCCTACCACATTCCTTGATGCAGTTATTGTGCAGCTTCTTCAATTAAAAATTTTTATTCCCAACTAGAGATTTCAATATAAATTTTATCATGATAACTATTTCAGACAACTTCATTGTTAGTGTTGATAGAAAAGCTGCTCTGTATGTATCCTACAACAACAAGCACATTTCCTTTATTACTTAACAACATTCTTTGCCAGGGGGGTGATGTAATGCATCATGATGTTTTGAAGACATTTAGAAACAAAATAATGCATCAATCAAAAATGCTAAAACACAGACACTATAGTTGCTAGGCCTCATAAAGTACCATTTTAATCTATGCAAGATGAATTAACATTAAAGAGATGTCTTGACAGGGTTTTTGTTCATAATGTCAGCCGGCTGAGGGAACAACTCAGAGTTGTAGAGTGACAATTATTTTCTTCAAAATGGGGAAGAAGTACCCTGAAGAAGAGAAAGAAGTCCAGATAATACCCATAGCAAAGCGGTTTAGGCTCTCCATTCATTACATACAATTAGTACAGGAATCCATAAAGAGCAAGAAAAAGAAGTTCCAGACCAGACAGATTCAATACATTATCAACTTGGTTAATGTAACCAAATTATCCGGTTAATGAAATACCTGTATTAAATAAATTTAAGCAATGTTGCTCTGATATCACAGAACACTAACACAGTTTGACGCATGGTCAATATTCATAACTTCACTTAATTATTTTCAACTTATGGCAGAACAAGATTCTGTTGTTTGAGTCTCCTTCAAAGAGGCCTTCGATGTACATGCCACAGACAGCTATTTTCATCTGTATGACACCCTCCAAACAGCATACTGTATTCCTTACATTTCTGTTTCCTCCTTTGAATAGTCTTGGCCTGATACTTCACTCCACATTTCTTCCCATGAATGGAGCTGACCACCATCAATAATTCAAATCTTAGTGACACACTTTAATCAGCTAGAAGTAGTAGATGACGAGGAACACTCACAAAAGGCCTGTGGAAATATGGTAGCTTGTTCAAGTCCTTGTTTTGCTTGTTCAAGTTCTGAGTTTAATCTGCTTGTTGCTTGCTCAAACTCTGCATTGAGCCTACTTGTAGCTTGTTCAATGTTAGCAGCCAAGTCTTGAACCTCTTTGTTAATTTTTGTTATAACCATCTCCATAGCTTCTCTTCCCTGAAGAAAAAAATTAAATTCTTGTATCACACATTAAAACATACCAGTAAATATTATTTTTAACAATCATTACAAATATATTTAAGGAATATTTACTTTTGATTAGTTATCCATACCTTTGATGCATTACTGGCCATTGTATTCTTGATAAGACTTTCACAATAGTCTTTGAAACTAACTCCAAAAACCTTGATTACAGCATCTTGTGTAAGTCTGGTTCTAGAAAATTAAAATTAATAGAATAAATTAAACCAAACCTTTCACTGATTGAATTGAGCAGTACTATTCATTAATAGCTCTTCCTTGAAAATAGGCTTATCCTCTAGGATGACCCTCAATGATAAGAATGATGATGATAAATGCTGAAGGGAAACTGAAATTCTTCAAAGGAACCCAAGAGGATATTATAAAGATTACTTCAAGGCGAAAAAATACATTCCTCTTTGACTCACTTGTTAACTTCTTGGTCTTGAGTATAAGTTACTGTCTCGTCTACATCCGCCCAGCCTGACAGTGTTACATTCCTACTAGTCATTGTCATTGTCTTTTTAACTGGATCAACAACAGAGTGTTCATAGGCATAACAGAGGTTATCAACTCCAATCATGTTACAAACCCATGAAGGTAAAAATCCCTCAGTGCCTACAAGTCTAGTAGTGTGTAATTGTCCTTGTTCATCAACATGTCTCTCCAGAACATCCATAGTTTTCACATTAGGATTGAGATCATTAGGATACTTTCTCCATACTGCTTGAGTGACACGATCCCAGCAGTGACTTTGAGAAAAAAATAATAACATTAGTTACTACCATGATAATGCTGAAGATGTAAATAATTAATTTTTTTTACCAAAGCCTCAAAGAGACTGACACCTAAGTACTGAGGTTAACTCAAAGTCACTCTGTTGCAAATCATTGACTGTGATTATGTGTACTTTTTAGAACTAAACCTTTCCATGGGTGCTATTTCAAATGAAATTTCTCTTCTCTTTAGCTCTTGGTTTAGTTTACCTTCACAAAGAAAGCAATTTCACATCTTAAATCAGTGACAATCTAAGCATCTACTTGGAACTTTCGTTTGAAGCTGGTTTAGAATCTTTGGATCTTGCATCATGGAATGAAGTTCATTTTTGAACACATTTTATAAGATAAAACATTTATGATTTACAGAGAATTCCTTTTGCATGAGTGGTTTTGATGAAACAGATTTCCCAACAGAATGCAGGAAAAAAAACAACAATTCAATTCGAGCATTAAGTATTGTTCAGTGATTAAGTATTGCTTCAGAGACACCTATGTTGATCTGAATTAGAATATTTAGATGAACATTCTTAGCTAAGAATTATTAAATTAATTATTAAAGAGTCATCCCTGGGAAGCTTGTTGGTTATATAACATTGCTAGTAATGAGGAAGTAACAAAATAGCCACTAAGGATAACCCTAGTCAGTCTGATTAATTACAAACAAAGTAGAAACGCAACCTTCTGACACACTTTTATTGTAATTCTAGCATATGTATCACCCCTACCAAGCAGTCAAACTGTGCATGAAGCTACCTCTCAGTCTTGTCTTTAAGTGATAGTTCAGCCACACCAAGTGGAGTGCAACAAACAAAATGTTGACTAAAAATGTCTGATATTGGAGCTAAGGCTTAAGAATTAATGAACAACCAAACAAACCATGTTAAGCCTAGTTCAGACACTGTACTTCAGCCGCACCAAATCAAATTCCTCAATAGGCTGACCTAATTTAGGTAATCCTGGCTGAATCGAGTCAAATGCTGAACTAGTTCAGATGCTCAACTTTATTTGGCCAAAATTAATTAATCAAAGACAATTAATATTCTGTGATTGGTTTAGCATACAATTAAAAACATGGCAGACACCATGGATTTCAGAAGCAATCTGCAAGCAAGAGACTTTCTTCTACTCAAAATGCAGGAAAACAGTGTAAAAAGAAGAAGAAGAATGCAAACCATCTTAGCCTATTTTGCAGCCAGAAGAAGATAAGTGATAGCCGTCTCATCATACTTCACATGAACTTAATTCGTTGAATTTGATTCTGCTCAGCTGAAGTATGGCGTCTGAACTGGACCCTAACTACAATCATTATGATGAATGATATAGTTTCACAAGTTCAGAGGCTGTCTCCATACTTAAAACGTCCAGTATTATGAACATCGACTGAGACAAAGTCGACCTCAAACATATTATAAAATCTACTTTCCCAGTTTTTTCACTTAAGGGCTCCCAATACACAACAACTTCACATGTCGATGGTTACGTAATGGGGAGGGACTGAAGTGTTGGCTGCAGCGTTATTTACTTTCTCATGCCAACTCAGCGGAGAAAAAAAATTGAACACTTAAGCCTTGAGCAAGGATTTCTGGCCTATGGAAGACAGAAAGTGATGTTTCACAGTAAACTTCTGCCGAAAATTAGCACGATTGCAATCAAGTCAAGTTTCACGTTGCTATAAACATTTAAGAGGGCACTTGTTTGTACATGCATGGTTGAATTTTCAAACGAAAGAAAAGTTTCAAACCCATTAAACCATAAATCAAGGAATAAAAATTTCTACTCTAAGCTTAAAGCAAAGAGGCCTCAGTTGTTTGATTACAAAATGGACATGATGTGGAGTACGTTTCCGACATCACACGTGAGTTTCAATTTATAGCACGTGAATGTATGGGGACTTCAGAAATCGACACACATTTTTTAGCTTAAAGTTGATGAAAAAGGAACAAAATGGTTTATAACTCACTTGAAGATATGTTCTGAAGACCAAAATTTCATAGCTCAGGATCAAATGTTGTAGAGAGTGTCTTACCGCTGAAATTACGTACAACAAGTCTAAAGTTTGCCACTGCCTTCACGTCATGTGCAGTGAACAAAGTCCGATCTTACGCAACTGTACGATTTGATTGGTCGAAGAACATTATGCAATTAGGATATGCGGATGACGCAACAAGATGACAGGAAAATTTTGGAAAACCGAAGTGCACCGTGGGACATGTTAAAGTTACATGAATGTCATAAAGCTACAGCAGATATCCGCTGACGTGGATTCAAGATGGCGGCCTTCAAACCGTGTACCGTTCTTTACACTGCCTTAGGATCAAATTTTCGTTCTCTCCTTTGACGAAGTTTCTCTTTTTCCCATTAAAAATTATGGATGACTATGGAGAAGATGTTGGATGGGACGAAGCAGCTGTAGGTTGAGATTTTCTCTTTTCTGAATGCCTTATTTAATATGTCCTACTTCACGATTAGGTAAGCTGGCTTGCTTATTGAACGTACATTTTCCTTTTTTTATTGTTTAGCTGAGTCCGTCCGATGAAAAAAGGGACAATGAAGTTGTTATACAAGAATGTATGCAAAACTTTGCCACAAAAGACTTTATCATGGAACCGGAAATTTTCAACAATATCAGGAGGTCAGCATCTATGAGGCTTAGATTGGTTATTTCGTTAAGACAAGGTTCAAACAAACGAATTTTTTAAGCAACACAGCTACGTTCGAAAATTGGTAGCTTATTCAGGGCTCAGTGTAAATGAGGAAAAGAGCTGGTGAGAGACACAGCAGTTGCGGTTGTTAGGGAAGTTGTTGCGGTATACTATTGTTTTTATTACTCTACTGCCCGCTCTCCATTTACAGTGGGAAAACAAGCTGGGAGCCTAGACCAGCCTTGAATATTAGAAAACATGAGTTACATAACTCTGATAAATTGCAGCACTAAAAAGCTAGACTAAATGTTATGATAACATTAAAAGTGGTATATTACTGCCAAAATTTATCCCCATTTCCTTTTTGGACAAGATTTGTCCATCACAGGTAACACCCCAGAATGTTGATATATTTCTCTGTTTATACTATATGGGAAGACAGGCACTATGCTAGTTGAGTGTCTTTTCTTAACAAGGTTAACCCTTATATTTTTGGTGATAAAGGCAGTGGGCCCAATGATAAAACTACATTAATATGTTACTATGTTTCCCTGGTTATACTCAATGGGAAGACAGGCACTGTACTAGTTAATTGTCTTGTCTTGACAAGGTTTACAGTAACTTCTTTGTTGATTAAGGCAGTGGGCCTTATGATCAAGTCATGTTTCAGATGTCCAGGTCCTGGTATGTTGTCCATCTCTATTGTTCTCTATTGTGTTCTTAATGTGTAACTTGTAACTTGTAACTTCAAAAATAAATGTAAATATTATATTGTAGATATTACCAGGCAGGAGGGATCCATGAAGAAATGGCAAAGATGTTATCTGAAAATTATACTGGAATTGCTCAGAGTACAAATCTCATAGCTAACTGGTTGATTGTAACAGGTAAGGTAATTATATGATACTACAATGTTGTGTTGTGAGATCATGATTTGTCTTTGACCTTGCCATAATCACATAAAAGTGAAGTATACGTTACTGCTTAACAATGATTTCCAAATATTCCCTGATTTTGTATTGCTACCATGTGAAACTAAACTGATAAACTTTCTAGAGTTTGAGAAGCACTTGAGGTCCAAGTGAAAAATGCTGTTCAAACAGGCATAGAATTATTAATGGCATTTTACAAAGAGTTTTAAAGTTTACATATTGAGGTTGTGTTGGCATCATCACACATGTCATTAATATTTACTAAGCCAGAGAACATTTCATTTCCCATGGTCTCTGATAAAATAAATAGGATTGCTAACTTTAACTGTTATTTTCACAGGAGCTAAAGTGACAGATGTTGAACAAATGGTTGAAAATCATCTGGAAACCCTTATTATCAAACACTTTGATCCAAAAAAGGCTGACTCAATTTTTTCTGCAGAGGGAGAGGTAAGGAAAAAGCCAGCTGTAGAATACCTGTTTGATGCTCTTCATGGCAGAAAAATCAAAACCTCTTAGTCCATCACATTTACCACTTGGTTATGCTCAGAATGTGTATTCCAAATTGACCATTATGTATTTGTTTCTGGTGAAAATGGAATTCAGGCTGTAGAATTCACCTAGTGGATGTCCACTGAGAAATGTGACATTCAGTTTATTCATTTATTTGATTGGATGATGCTCCATTAAATTGAATTTTCTCTTGTTCTGTTGGCAGACACCTTCCTGGCTAGAAGACATGATTGTTCACCAGACATGGCGTTCAATGTTTTATAAGCTGGCAGAGCACTATCCTGACTGCCTGATGCTCAATTTTACTATCAAAATTTGAATTTGAATTTTCTCTTGTTCTGTTGGCAGACACCTTCCTGGCTAGAAGACATGATTGTTCACCAGACATGGCGTTCAATGTTTTATAAGCTAGCAGAGCACTATCCTGACTGCCTGATGCTCAATTTTACTATCAAGGTTTGATAACTTTTTCATTTTCATCAAACTCAGTTTAAAAGTTTTGTACTAAATTTTTTCTGTGCTGAACTATAAACAATTAGTGCTCCTTATCTCACCTATCTCTGTATTGCAGTGTAAGGTAGAGTATATTGTTTGTTTTTGGAACTGTAAAGTATTACTTTTTATAAGTAAAATTAACGACACTGAGTATGTCAATGATGGAAGAAACAAACTATTAAAAAAAGACCAATCTCAATTGATATTAATAAATTGGCCTCCTTTAGATGATGTGTATGGTAATCGAAAAAATTGGTCAAATTTACTTTCAGTCAAGATAAATTGCGATTTTGATTAAAAGTATGATTAGTCCATTTAAAGCCACAGTACAAAATGAACATTTTTAGAAAAAATGATTTTCTCCCAGAAATATATCAAAGGGTTAAAAAAAAACCTCTGAGATTACACTGGAGGTTGTTATCTACTGTTTGTTATATTAATAACTATGTGTTCGGTCATTTTGAAAACATTTCTGCACAAATGAAAATTCTCCTAAATTCACTCACTGCCATTATCATGTCTTTTTACAGCTGATTTCTGATGCAGGATATCAGGGTGAGATTAGAAGTGTCTCTACAGCCTGCCATCAAATTGAGGTGTTTTCCCGAGTGCTCAAGACTTCAGCTTGTTCTTTTCTGGAAGAAGGAGAAATGACAATGGAAAGCAACCTGCCAGAATTTTCTGTATGTTGAAATATAATTTCTGACTGGTTTTGTGAAACATCATAGCCTTCAATACATGATGCTCTGTAGTTATAAATTTTGTATGGATTACTTTCCAGAGGATGGTATGTTATGGACAGCACACCTACCTGTATGCACAGTGCTTGTTAAATCACATCGCACAAAACACAGAAGGAGGATCAAAACTTCAAAGACTAGGTCAAGAGCTTCAAAATCGGGCAGTTCAAAGGTGATTTTAATCATTAAGGCTCAGTGTTAGGCTCAGTGTGATTGATATGGGATGAGTGACTGAAAACATATCAACACTTTTTATCTCATCTCCACCAACTGAGAAGCTGGAACAGGTTTTGAGTTAACCCTTTAACCCCTAAGGGTGACTAGCATCTCTTTTCTCCTTACATTATCACACCTGAATCAAACATTCAAGGTCATGAGAATAATGGGAATGATCAATAAGTACAGGAGCTCTTGGTTGTTAAACAAAATCTCTTTGTCAGCACCTTAGGGAGTGTATAGAAAACAGTATGGAGAATATAGATACTGATCTTAGGTTGTAAAGGGTTGATGTTTGCTGGTACCTCTCTTTTGTGTGGGAGATACAGTGGCTTAATGGTTAGAGTGCTGGACTCCAGGAGTATAAATGGATGCCAGCAAATTATGAGGGAGCCAGATGAAATGCTGGGGGTGACCTTGTGAGGGACAGGTATCTCATCCCTGGGGCAGGGAAAGTAGTAATAATACTCCTAGTTGCTTCGCGCTAAGGAAACCAGGATAAATTCCAACTGCATGGGCCACTTGGCTGCAGACTTGATGTATCTATCTCTCTTTTAATTTACCACTTACAGTTTACAATTTGAATTAATTTAGTCCTGTTTTTGGTGCTGTACTAAAAGTACTTTTTAATCTTTTTACAGTGGACATGAAGTCACAGAGATTACTCTATCATTAAATGGTGCTGCAGCTTTTCCCAGAGCAAATTCTGCCCTCTCATCCATGTTAGGAAAAAATTCTCTTAATCCTGGAGATATCACTGTGGTAAGCTGACAGAGAAAAATAGCAGAGTATATGATAAAGGGCAATGATAATAGGTTTGATTTGAACACCTGTATTAGTGTGTGTTTTATCATCAAGGCCTAGTTTTATTTTTTTTAACAAAAATTTTTAGCATTTTTATCTTCTTTGAGAGTTTTCTCACTTTGTACACTGTGGGTCAAGTACTATTTATTTTTTAGCAATATCATGTTTTAATAAATTTTTTTATTTTTTATCAGTCCTTATTTATCATTATTTTTATAATTGTTATTAAGATTATTAATTTGGGTTTCTTAAATTTGATCATGCACACTTTAATTTTTTTTATCTTTCACTCAATTTTAGGTGATTTGAATGTAGTAATTTAATGTGGAACTGTAGTTATTTAACACAGAGCTGTGTGGAAAGTTTTCTTTGTCTGTAAATTAATTTTTTTTATTCATTCACTTATTTATTCATATGTTTGATGTATCCTCTTGTCTCTTTTACCTTGACACAGCTATACAAGTTATATAATAGTTCTCAGGCTCCTCCCTGTGCACTCATCCGAATTCCACAGTTTTTAGGTGAGGAAAAATTCATTTTCTTTATCATGTTTTCCTTCCAAGATGTTGAGTATATGCAATTCCAAGCAAGTAATTCTAAGACATTTGCAGTGGACAGAGGGGTAATGGAAAATGTTAGTTTGATCAGTTTTGTACAAGGATGGCTAAAGGTCACCAGTTCCAACAGCACTGATGGTTTAATTGATCATGTTCAGAAAATATACCACTGATCATAGAGTTCAATCAAGAAAATTGGAAATCATTTTATTTTTAACGAAAACTTGGCTTTCTAGACAAGATCTTTAGTAAAATGCAATTATTTTTATTTGCAACAAAGTTTATAAATCATTAAAGCGAAGTAAACCTCACCAACAACTCTAATGCTGGAATTTATCAGTCTTTAGGCAATTACAGAGTAAGGTGTTTGGATTATGGGAGAAATATGAAAATGGTGGTATGGTGGGTGAAGGGTCGTAAATCAAACGTTCTCGATGAGACTGGAAGAAACAGTGGTAACTACCAAAGATCTTGTCTAGAAAGCCAAGTTTTCGTTAAAAAATCTGACCGATTGTCATGATGAGTCTTTACAGTGTTGTTGTCACACAATAACTCGTTCGTGTTTCTTGGTCACCTCGCCACCAAGCAGACTCGCCACCAGCGAACTCGCTCGCCCAAGGAACGATCTCGCCACCAACGTACTCGCCACCAAGCGAAGTCTTCTCGCCACCAACCATCAATAAAGAGATAAACTAGAATAAAGTAGTCGAGGAGAGTAGGATGTTCGAACGAGCACAATTCAAATCGGCCGATACGTTTGTGCGCTTGTCTGTATTTAAATTATGACCTTCAGCGACGTGTTAGATGTGTTCCGTTCCTAACTCATTGACATCGAAACGTATCGTGTTTGTCTTTTGCACGTAAGCGAGGAGAAATTGCAAAACTCGATGCGAGGAATAAAAACTTACTTGAGAGAAAATGAAACTTCATGGGAAGAAATAAGTGATGAAATGAAACTCGATAGCAGTTGTATTAAAACTAAACTTATCGGTTTCGAACGTGCTTTCGACAACATACGTTTATAAAGTTTGAGTACAGACTTATCAGCCGAACATCCTACTGTCCTCGACTAATCTCTTTATTGGTGGTTGGTGGCGAGAAGACTTCGCTTGGTGGCGAGTACGTTGGTGGCGAGATCGTTCCTTGGTGGCGAGTTCGCTGGTGGCGAGTCTGTTTGGTGGCGAGGTGACTGGATACCGTCACACAATAACTCGTTCGCGTCTTAAGCTGTTAGAGTCGTTGGTGAGGTTTACTTCGCTTTATTCGCCTTAAGATCCTTATAAACTTTGTTGCAAATAAAAAGAAATGCTTTTTACTAAAGATCTCGTCTAGAAAGCCACGTTTTCGTTAAAAATCTGAGCGATTGACATGATGAGTCTTTACGGTGTTGTTGTCGCACAATAACTCGTTCGCGTCTTAAGCTGTTATAGTCATTGGTGATGTTCACCAATGTTCACCGATGTTTAAGCTTCTGTTTGATGTTCGCGAGTTGGTCCGTCGGCGAGTTGACCGTAAACCCTTGGCCCAAAATGCATGCAATTTGCAAAGAAGCTGGCACCAAGTGGACTGACAGCTGGTGGGTTTTTTGCCATCTATCAGCTTCTAATGACAACTCACAGTCGCAGCTGAGCAGTGCAACAAAAGTGACTTATTGGTTTTACACAAATCAGAACATTTCATTATCCTAAAAAGCTTCACTTGACTTTGATGATGAAAACTTCCCTTCAAGTTGTCACAAACAACTGTCCTTTTCAGTGACAATCTAGTTATCACATACCAGTGCAGCTGCTTGATATAAATTTGATTTCATACAATATTCCTTTTTTTCTAGAACTTCTTTTGGAAGCATTGTTCAAACCTGGACAGCACTTGAATCCAGAACACAAGTTTAAATATGTTTACCTGTTGGCATATGCTGCATCTGTCCATGAAACCTGGGTTGAGGTATTTCCATATTTCACTATTTTTCAGGGAATTTTTAAAGCATAGTGTTGAAACTAATCCAAGATAAAATTGATTTTGTTTTGCTATGCTGTTTGACCTCCTCCTAAGGCAATCTAAGAGCAAACACCATTGGTGAATGGTATTTTCTTTCACTGCATTTTCAGACAGATAACTTGGTTACATTTTGAATAAGCAGAGTAAATCTCCTTGAATCTAATTTCTTGCAAACCTGCTTCTTTAGCCTGAAATGGGAAAGATTTTGGTCACTAACTTTGTCAGTCATATCATTCCATTGAGGTTACAGCTACCTCATCACATAACAATAATTTGTTACATTTGTTTGTTTGTTTCTTTTTCTTTTGATTTGTAGAGTGAGCGAACAATGCTTAATAGAGATGAGCTCAAAACAACTTCTCAGGCCCTGGATAAAATTCACTCTCTGTGTGTACAGGAGACAAAGAAAGGCTCGCAGCTGCTTGCAGAAGTGGGTGTCCTGTTCCAATGTATCAGGTAAGAGCCCAACTATTTCCAGATTTCTGAGAGTAAGTTACACTTTAAAAACAAATTATCCTCATGCAGTGTTTTCTTGCTTCTGTAGGTTTCCTGTAGTTGCTATGGGTTTGTTAAAGTGGGTTGACTGCACCGTATGTGATCCATCATTCTTCAAGTTGCTCACAGACTCAACACCAGTCCACCTGGCTTTATTAGATGAGGTATGAGATAATCAGGTAGCTGCGAAACCAAGATAAACCTCTTAAATTACCACGTGACTACTTCCTAGCCCCCGTTCACTTTCCTCCTTAATTTCAATCCTCTTTTCACGTCTCGTAGATCAGCTCCTGTCATGCTCTTCAACATCGCTTGGTTCTCAATGTACTGATCCGTTTGTTTGAGTCTCCAACGCCACTGGACACTTTAGTAGAGGTAGGAATCATTCAATCGAAGTTTTCTTTTTGCTAAATCATGAAGATACCTGTACATCTGCACACATGCCAAGGTAACTGCACTTCCAGAGTTTATCCTGGTTACCGAAGCATGAAGCAACTAGTATATGGATTATTACTCCTCATTCATGATTGGAGTTCTCCTCTCACCCCCTCCCCTTCCCCTGAGGCATTTCCTAGGGTTCCTTTGACGGTGCGCTGGTGTCTTAGCGGATTTGGACCATTGTGGTTCAGTTTGGACCCCAAAAGAGAACAGAACAGTGGGGTCCAAATCCGCTGGGGTCCAAATCCGCTGGAGGTCCAAATCTGCTGTGCCACTAGCACTCATTTATACAGGGTTTCCACGTGTCCTGGAAAACCTGGAAAGTCCTGTCATTTTTATTTTGACATTTTCCAGGACTCGAAGGTCTTGAAAAAAGACTGCAGGTTCTGGAAAGTCCTGGAAATGTGGCTAACTCGAGCAATAAAGATTTCAGAATTTACTTTATAGGAAATATATGTAGAACGTCGGGAGAACTTATTTTGAAATCTTGGGAATGAAAGGCTGTGAGGTGAAATTTGGAGTCGTGGAAAAATTAATCTGCTTCCTGCAAAAGTCCTGGAAAAGTCCTTAAAGCTTGTTTCTGAATAAGGGTGCGAATCCTGTTTATACTTCTGGGTAGAGAGAGGCTGTTAGAGAAATATGTGTTACCCAAGGAAAAAATAACAAAATAACCCGGTTTGGACTCAAATAAAGAACTTCTGCACCGGATTCTAGCACAATAGCCATAAGGCTTAAACAGCCCCCACCACACCAATGTGCATGGCCATTTTTACAGTCGCCCTATGTAAACTTTGACCTGACCAATATTATCCAAAAACTAACATATCTGTGGACTTCAATATAAATTTATGATGTTTAATATTTTGTGCATCCACTATATTCGAATTCTCATCATGAGAGACGTCACAACCATGTTGTCTTTCTGTATTTTAAAGCCAGCCTCTGAGACACTCGAGGGAAAGGAATCCTCGAACGTTTCATTTGCTCTTTTCTTTGGTTTGGCCGGCGGGAGTTTGTAGCAGTCACACTGTTCTGGTCGTTGGTTTTAGTTTCAAACATGTATGGTGCTTTGCACTTTTTCGGCGTCTCCCTTGTTGGGTTTATACCCACAAAGTTTGGATTTGGACAGGACCCATCGACATTTGAAGGAAGCGCGAATGTTTCATTTTCTTGCTGACTGAGAAGTGGAGATGTGATCAGGGAGGAAGTCGAAAAGTCTGTCTTAGTTACTCCTTCTTCTGAAGCTGTTGCTGTGGTTGCACTGTCCGATGATGAAGCATAACGTGTTTGAGCAATGTTCGCAACTCGTACCAGTGATGAGACTCTTTTTGTTTCTGAATCATTTGGATGTGATTTGCAGTTTACAAAATTACAGCAAAATCCTTTCACGTCTAATTGTAATCTTTCTTCCTTTTTGACCCCCGAGGTTACTTCAGTTTGAAAGGAGTTCGTTACCCATTTGTAGTTTTTCCCTTGTGGTGAATCTGTTGTTGTTGTTGTGGTTTTGGCAAGTTGTTGTTGCGCTCCTAGTTCGTGGTCTTTTTTCCCTTCCTCGAATAGCCCTTTTGAGTTAGATTGATTCACTGCATGCATTGTCATCCGAGGCATCTGTGTTTCGTTGTCTGCTGTTGCTATCACCGCAGTCAAATGCGACTTTTCCTCAGGTTTATTTGATTTACCATGTCTTGGATTGTTCAATCGTATTAATGCCTCTGCATTTCCCTTGCTCCTGTTAGAGGCTTCATATTTCGTTTCTGTCATTTTTTCAGATAGCACTTCACGGTTCGTGCCAGTATTGCTTTCATTAAGAAAATTGTCGTCAAAGATTTTCCGTTTTCCCGATTCCTGTTCGTTTTCTTTTCTTGTGCAAGGAAATCTTTGGTCGTTTGAATTTGCTTTTGATATTATTGCTTGGCTGTCATGAACGTCTGATTCAGTTTCGTTGTTCGAGCAATTAATACGATAACTTGCAGTAGAACTTTGGTGCAGTATATCGTCGTCCGGTTTTGTGTCAGGGATGTTGTACTTTGTTATCCTCTGTTTTCTCGCCAGCCCAGGCCTTTGCATGCATGATATCTCGTTCTCTTGTATCACCTTCTCTACGCTCTGTTTGTCTTTGTTTTTTCCTCGGCCTTCAACTGGCAGTGTTTCCTGACATTCACTCGTTTTCTTGAAGTAACCAGGATAGTCCGTACTCTCTGCAGACCTATAAAATTCTTTGTCTATAACGTAATCTTTTCTTTTTAAAGGCGAATAAAAATCTTTGCCGTCAAAGCAATCTGTACTCTCTTCTAACCTACTAATTTCTCCTTCACTTCTCCGGTTGTTTTGCTGACACGAGGAGTTTGTTTCTTGATGTAGCTGACATATTAATTGTGCTTTGTCTGGAAGAGAATTTTCTGCCAATTCCTGCTTAGTCCACTCCTCGTCTTCAAAATGTTTTTGCAATCCGTGAAGCAACAGGCAGCACAGTCCGTGTAAAGAACGAAGGACGAGATTCCACAAACAACAAATGAGATATTCAATGAAAGCATAAACGAGAAAAGGAGCTAAAAACGTAATTGCCACTGCGAGATCTGAAACGTTTTTTCTTCCGCTGGACCGATCCATGGGCTTTGAAAACTGAAGGTTTTTGATTGTGACGTCAGTTAGTAAATTCCCGCGCGCTCTTCAGAGAAAGTGCAGTTGCACGTGGTGTTTGCGAAGCTGCATCGCGCGCGCATAAACGAGGGCTTTCTCTTTATTGAGGAAATTAATTATAATCAATTTGAGTTAACTCCGCTCAACGATTGCTTCGCACTAACCAGGTCAGATCGAGGGAGGGACGTAGCGAAGAATGGGGCATGAAAAAGCTGAGTTTTTGTATTCTAAATACTTTAGCCGCCAAATGTAAGTTGACTAGGACTTACGCAAACTTACTTAAACAAACGCACACGTTCCTCAATGCTCAGTAGTGTTCCTTGCTAGTGGAGAAATAAATATGATGATTTTCTTTTTCGATAATTACATTTTTCTTTTGTTGTTCGTTGTTTAAGCTTGAGTTCAAGAAAACAGTCCTGGATCGAATGATTCATCTCTTGAGCCGAGGATATGTTATACCCGTGATAAGCTACATTAACAGCTGTTTGGAAAAGCAGAACACGGATAACTCTCTCATAAGACATTTCGTGACTGAGGTAAATAAAGGTACACTGAACTAAATCGCTAAGGCATGAAATCCTTACCAAATATGGGTGAGTTAAGTTGGAGTAATAACAACAGGTCTGTTCTTTAAAAGGCCTTTATTTATTTATTTGTTTGTATTGAGAAGATTGCCCAAAACTCGTTGCAATATTTTTTTCTCTCACCAGGTTCTAGAAATGATTGCTCCTCCATACTCGACCGAGTTCGTCCAGCTTTTCCTTCCCATCGTCCGTAATGAGGAGATCACAGGGAGGCTGCGCAGTGCTGATCACTCTGATGACGTGTCGTTATTTTTAGGTGAGGCGTTTATCAATTTTTTTACTTACATAGAAGTAGCCTTAACTTATTACTGGATTAGAGCATTCTAGCTCAAGTGATCAAGTCTCCGATTAAACGTAAACCAAGGTTTTTAGCCGCGTTTTTAGGAACACTGACAGAAGCATGTCTAGCTGTGGTTTTATGTTATAATTTTTCACCTTCTTTCGTAGGTCACTGTGCTCAGCAGGCTTAAGTCTCCGGTTCAGTGGTGTCGATATTGTCGTACGGATAAGAGACGTTGAACCAGCTCTGTCCACTTCACCCGGATTACACTAAAATGCGCTTAGGTTTACACTTAACTAAGCTGACCAGAGAGAGTTAGAGAAAGCTATGCTGTCTTTTGTGTATTTAAAACCAAATAGAAGACGTTAAATTTGTAAATAATAATGATAAAAAACATCAGTGCAAAACAAATGGATGTCTCGCTATCCTTGATTAGTGATTTCGAGAAAAAATTATGAAATAGCACGCATAGACAAAAGATAAAACTTTTATTTAGACAAAAGTTCATCATTGTAGTCTTTGAATTGTTTTAGCGTGGAAGCCAGCTGAACCAGAAAAATACATCTACAAGGAACTACGACCAAACGTTGGATGGCCAGCGTTTTTAGGAAGGAAGAGAAGTTGGTGTGACATGTGACACAGTGATCTCTTGTCACGCAAGCGATCACAAAAATTGCTTTGACTAATTAAGTTTGATTACATTGTATTCACCCTGTTAAATTTTCTTTTCCACAAAGTCTCTAAACAGGTACGAGGTACCATTTTTTTTTTTTTTAGCTTGATAGTCCACAGTCTACATGAGTTAAAGTTGACTCGTCTCCCACAGTCTCTTATTTACTTCTTCTTTAATTTACCCCACCTATTTCTATATGGAAAATCTTTTTGGGGGATCTTTCAGATAAACGATCAATAACAAGGTCACACCACAACACCGGGAGCTACGTTCCCTACTCTTTGCGAGAATTGCGTCTCCTGCTGACCAGTACAGAGAGGTTGCACGAGACGGGGCCTTCCGCATGGCAGTCCGTTGCTTTTCAAAATAAGCTTACCAAGCGCTCGTTGTGTTTTGAGGACAGGAGATTGAAGTCGATTCCCGTGAACACCCGCGACTTTCAATGCCACAGACTCCAACTCCCTCTCAACATAAGCAGAAATAGTGATTGGGTACGAACGGGTTTAACTTTTCCGTGGTGGAAACAATTACTGAAACGAATTACATTTCCATGGGCAAGTACTACTTTATTTATTTCGTTAATATTCTGTCATTCCTGGTAACATGCAGTCCTGTGCGAGGTGAACGCGTTACTTTTTGTGACAACAAATCTGTAAATAAATCAAAGGGAAAGGGTATTGAAAGTTTTTTTTATCAGATGCAAAGTTAAGAGTTTCTTTTCAATTTTAACATTTTAGATTTTTGAAGTATGAAATGTTACACGTGTGCTTTTGATTGTTCGATTCTAACTTCATAGCGTACGGAATCCAGTACTAGGCCGTCTATTGTATACAACATAAACATATCTCGATAAACGATATACGTTATGCGCTTAAGTCTTTACCAAAAAACTAAGATCGACAGGAAATGTCTGCTTATCATTCACATGGATACAACTAGACAACATACCTTCAGCAGAGCTTACATGCTTTCTTACAGTTGGCCTGGACCCAAGAGTGATAACTGCAGTAACTTGTCCAGTTTACACAGTTGGAATGGTTATCCACACACTCTGTTATATACAGAAATTCATATTATCTCCACTGGATTATCATTATAGCCATTTTGAAATAACTGATGGTGTTTTCAATGTTACTGGCTCGTAGCAGCGCAAATCGCACTATTTTTTGCGCTAAATCGAATATATTTCCCGGCCAAAGGGAATGGAACACGGGAATGGAACACTTCAATAAAACATATAATTTCATTGGCTCTCAGCAGTGTGAATCATTCATGAATATCACTATATTAGCTCTAAATCGCATCTTTTCCCGGTGGTGCCTTCATTCACAAACCGGCTACTGGATCCATACTTTACCAGTAATGGTGAAAATATCGTAGTTGGTAATAAAATAAATTTAATAAAGAAATTTTCAAAATGATATAGTAACAAAGTTGCATCTTAAGGATTTTAATCCTTTAACCCCTAAGAGTGACTAGCATCTAACTTCTCCTTACAAAATCACCCCTGAATCACACATTAAGGTGAGGAGAAAAAAGGAAATGATCAACTACTAAAGAAGCTCTTGCTTGTTAAACAAATTCTCCATCTCGGTATTTTAGGAATTTGATGCATGGAGAACAGAATTGAGAACTCGCCTGCTGATGTTAGGTTGTAAACCATTTTACTTACGTGATCCTCCGTTTGCAGGTTTACCTGCAAGAAAATCATTTAAACCAATAATTACAACAAATAAATGTATCAACTAAAGGTCAGAATACCTCGAGTATTTTAGGAACAGTTTTTATTTATAGGTACTCCAATTTCTGATGCAAGCAGTTGATCTCTACAATATGAACGGAAGAAGCACACCGAAGTATATTGCCGTGTGCTTAACATATATTGTTACGAATTAAGTGTAACTGTAACAGATCCAGTGAACTGCAAACTTTAATCCTGTCGGTCAAATTCACATGACCAAGGAAACATGAGTTGAACCTGTGAGGATTTGAAACAAGGATCCTAGGGATTTCGTGGTGCAATCCACAGTGGCTTAGCGCTTGAGCATCACATTGTTAAAGCCGAACATCTGTGGTTCGAATCTTCGTGGTGGAATCAGATCTGATGTCTCCCTTATGTGCGTGTAAAATAATCATGATTTTAAATGTACAAGATTCACAACAAAAATGTATTTCGTCTAATATATTCACGAGTCGTGTAATGTATTCACGAGTCGTTCGACCCGTACCCCTTACTAAGGAGACTAACAGTTTTCCACCTCGCACCACTGAGCCCTGATGGTGGTGCGTCGATTCGTACGAGTCGTACGATTCGTCGACCATGAATATTCATTAAGGAAACCATGGAAACGAAACGTACGACTCGTGAATACATTAGACGACTTGTATCAAAGATACTAACCTAATTTCTTGAAAGATTAGCTTGAGTGTTTCCGCCTTCAGTGACCGTTCAAAACAGGTGGAGGACAATGAAAACATGCCATTGGGACTTAATAAATGGTGATCATTTGCTTCGTTGAATCTATTTAAGTTCCTGTAGTGAAAATGAATTTCATTGTTTTTCAGCTGAACGAACAAAGTTGCATATTGTGCTCACCTGATTTTAATAACGGCGCTGCTTGCACTGAAATTGAGAAAAAAGACAACCCTTTTTGTCTTGAAGATCTTGCGGTAAGTCCGCGCCATATTCAGCAGCCAGCGAAATTTTGCACCAGTTTTCTCCATCCTTAACCAGCCAGTATTTTACAAAGTGTTGTTAATTATTTTACGGCGGAGATAAGCTCTGTTTTGGCTTTTGACAATTTTTATTTCCGTTTTCTCGATGGGAGAAACTGTTGCAGTTCTAGTAGGTTATAATTAAATGTTGTTGTTGTTTTTTTTTTTTTTCAAAACAGGTTGCTTTTGGCTTAATATCGTATATGCTTTGACTGTGTAGTTCAGATGACAAGGGTAGCGTAGAGTAGTTCTCATGGAGGCCCAAGAAAGGAAAGTATAACTCACCAAAGCCATGGTTGAGTCATCGTCTTCAGCAAAGACGAGTGTCTGAGAAATAACGACAGCGACTAACAACAGGGAACACAGCATGTTGAGTTCAAACAAACCGAAAAAAGTCTAAACCGATTTGATTTGGGCGTAGAAGCATAGGTTGTTTCTTTCTTTTATAACAATTCTGCTGAAAAGCTGCAAAACCTGATTAAATTTCACTCAACAGTTGTTTAAAGGAAAAGAAAGACGGTAAACTTTTACAACGCAAGCTTTAGTGTGTGTGAAATAGCTTGACAATTGTGACATTTAAAAGGTGAAAGAATCAATGTAAATTTAAGTGTATCCGTTTTTTTATTCAGCGAATTCAGCCTCAACAGCGGTTTTATTTTTATCACATAGAGTGTGTAAATTTTGAATGGGAAACACAACAGGATTGGCAAAAAGGTTTTTATAATGTGACGATTTAAAAACTTCAAAAGGATCAGAACCCCCCAAAAATGTTCATTTTATTCTACTTTCTCGCGTGAATTCAATTATATCCAATAATTCTTAAACACTGTACAGAATTGTTAGAAAGTCATGTAGGCTTTTTGTTTGTCAATATTTGCTTTTAAGTTATCGGAACGAGTTTTTTGTTTATCAACTTCATCTACCAACTGCGGCAAGTGTTCTAAGGTGAGAATACAAGTTACACTTGTCAACTTGAACAAGGAAGACAAAGAGATCAAAGACACATGGAAATATTCCATGCTTGAGACTGCATTTACCATTTCTCTTTATTTTGGTTCATCTACAGAACTAGAAATAGTCAAAATCAGGGGCCACCTTTATGGTTTTGCTGAAATTATTCGTCTGAAAAAGTCGGAGTGCCCGTTTTACCGACAGTATAAAAGGAGATAATTTCAAAGTCATCATCAACTAAGTATAATTGCATCTCTTTTGCAAAGAAATAAAAAAGCTAATTTAATTAACCATCGTGTTCAGTGGCTAACATGTGTGAGGTAAGAGGCGAGCTAGATATTGAGAAGGGATAGAAAATATTGAAAATAAAGTGCACGAACTGTACTCCCATCAAGGATAAGGGAAAATACTGATCATAATCTATTGTTTTGCTTCCATTTGAGCTTGATGCCTTAATGTTGAACCCATTGATTTTAAGAGTGGACATAGCTGTACCGAGTTGAAGTAGACAAGATTCGTTGCCTACCTCTCTGCTCAAGAGCAAATATTACAAGGAACTAGTCAAATAACAAATAAAGCTGGTAAACTCACGTTATCAATAGATCTACCCGCCAGTTTTTTTTTTTTTATTCAAGCACAATAAGCTAAACCCTAGCGCACCCATTGACTCAATTGAAAGAGCAACAACTGAGTTTGCAATTTTTATTTCCCCTTTATTAAACCTTTCACTTGAATCACATAAAACAATCAAAGTATCTCCTCTTTCATCAGCATCAAATCTGCAACAAAATAGTAAATACTCAGCACGACGTTTTCTATATCTGGAGCTAAAAAATCAAATACGAGGTTAAAAGTTAGGGTCGGGGTTGTGAGGTTGTGCAGAAAAATCGTCAAACTCTTTTACTTCGAGTGCATATGAATCTCAGCCCGACAGAAATTTCCTTTGGGCAACTGAGCCTCATTATTTGGCTGACGCGAGGCATGAAGCTTACTCCAAATGTAATTGCGACAAAGATTTGTATCGGATTGTCTTAAAAGTACAGCATTGACTATAAAAACGATTTGCTTTCTTTTTCATGACTATAAAATCTCACAGTATGGACAGATTGAGTACAGTTTTTGTGAGCAGTTTGGAAACCAGCCTTTTCCAATTTCGCGCTCTATTTTTTTTTTCTAAAAAAAGGTCGTACTTATTCTATGTCGCGAATATATTTGGAATAGTTGCACAATGTAAGGGTGACGCATATGAGTCAAACGGGCGCGTGGTTTTGGTTTAGGTTCACTGGACTTCAGAAGAGACACGAGGTGTGTAAGGCTTGTGTAAGGTATTATTATGCTGATTCTTTTTTTCATTTTCCGTCGAACGATTTTTTTTTTAACTTTCTTCAATTTTTTCTCCACCAATCTCCAACGATAAAAAAGATAGGTCATTGCGCATTCTGAGTAGATATTTTGGACCGATGATAACTGGACTGGTACTAATCACGCGCGTTACTTCATCGAATCACGCCGGTTAATTTGCGGTAGCTGAAAGCAACTTGTTTTTAGACAAAAATTTAAAATATTTTCTAGAATTTGTAACAATTTAGTCAGGTCGTTACTTTGGAGATCATAATTGGCATCCTCGAGTAACAGGCTTCGTGCACGCCTATATCTTTTTTTACCTTCCGATGATTTTTTTTATTTTTCAAGTTTCTTAAGGGGTACAGTTTGTATACCAAGATTATGCAATAAAAAAATAAGTCACCGCGTTCTTCAAGAGCAAAAGACTACCTGTTCACCTCTTCTATTGGTTGAAAAGTAATAATAGGTATCGTGAAATTAAGTGACCGCAAGAATTGGTAATAGTAATGTACCCGATCACAACTCACAGCCGCAGTTCTCGATACGCTTCCCCCTAACTTTGCTTCAATACATCCTGATTCTTTTCTAAGTGGTCACAGGGCGTTATACAGTGATAAAGATCCCAATGACTGCGTCCAAAGGCAAAAGTCAATGAAGATGCTGACAAACCTTCAGCAACGGCGACAAGTTCTCCTGCAGTAGCGTTGGACGAATGCGTGAAAACGACATGTACCCCCCCGGCTCCATGACCGACATTGGGAACTGGATGCCAAATCGAAACATGCTGCAACATAAAATACACAGAATTTATAAATTTGCATAAAAGAGGAATGATTAACATTTAGGATAAATCACTGACAGTTTATCTGTTGGTATAATAAAGTTATAACGCCTTTTTAGCTCTCTGTTTTATTATTATTATTATTATCATTTCCTTTTTCAAATTGGCCCTTTAAACCTTTAAGAAAACTGGCGCGAATAAGAGCGATTGCATCTGATTGGTTGAGAATTTGGCGCGAGCTTTCTGGACCAATCACGAAGTATGGCAAAGCGAAGCTAACGCTATCCTGGATTTGTTTCAAGACTCGATTGAAATATGTCTTAATGTATACAGATTTAGGAACGAATATAACAAAAAGAGGTTGAAATGAAGTGCTCACATGAACTGCCTCCACTACTGCTTCCTCCGCTGCTTCCTCCGGTGTTTCTCCCTACAAGGCGCCAAATAAATAAAGATAGGACTGGTACAAAATATGTATCAATTAAGAAAATTTAAGAACTCAAGATTTGCTCGAGGAACGCGAGCAATAGCAGAAAATAAGGTATGACGTTAATAGCCAATGGCTTTCAGCCGTTTTCACACTGACTTAGAATGTTTGTCATATTTACGGTGAAAAAAAGGTTTCTTCGTTTTTCTACGGGCTCTGTGTAAGCGTGAATATGGGAAAATTTGAATTATAGTAGTGAGTTCATTTTTGCCGTCAGCCGTTATTGCAAACATTATATTAAAATTCCCAAAGGATATGAAAAAATTTCCATCTAGTACAGGGACCGCGCAGAGGGAGGGGCTGGGGGGGCTTTAGCCCCCCCCCCCCACTTTTTTTGCAAGAATAAAAATAAATTAAACAAAAAATAATTTAACAAAAAAATTTTCCTTCACGCATTCTTCTTTAGCCCCCCCCCCAACTCGAAAACTTGCTGCGCGGTCCCTTTAGTCCTGAGTGTATCACATCATTTAGCTGAATTAATCAGCAGTTTTTAAGGATGAAAAAAGGCTGATTTTCTACTGATTTTCAAAAATCCATAAGCTTAGCAAATGCAAATACCAGTTCAATACCACTAATAAAGTAATAAAACTAATAAAGTCAAGTTCATTACTTTGAATGGGAAATCAGGGGGTTCGCGTGGATTGATCTCAGTTTTGCATCTTATGGGTCGAAAAGGTGACGCGAAGTTTCTTCGACCAATCAAACACGGGAAATAAAGCAAAACCAATGAGATTCCGGGATATTATCAACAATAATTCAAAAATTGTTCTATTTGCTACCGAAATAAAACTTACCGTACAAAGACTGAATGGCAGCGATGTCGTCCTGTTTAAGCTGCATGTTCGGCACATACCCAGTATAGTAGGGATACATGACAGCATCTCTAACAGATGAATGCTGGATTCCAAGGGCGTGTCCGAATTCGTGTACAGCCACCCACAGAAGATTTGTTCCTCGGCTGGTGCCGTCAGTGAAAGTTTCGTCCTCGTCGAAATGAGCGCGTCCATCAGAAGGGTAGAATGCATGCGCTAATGTTCCGCTCGCCCCATCAAATGGGTAACCACATTGGTTCTCACTAACTCCTCCGTGTGCTCGGCTTCCAAAGCTATGTGAAGAAAAATAAGTGAGTAAAATTTAAATAGTTTATAAAGAGCCGTACATTTTTTTAATCTAACTTTGATTTGACCCGCCTCCAACATTTTTGGCGTCATGGCTCATTTTGTTCCATGGAGTATCGAGCTAGCATTACGAGGTTACAAGTTTCAGTCTTGGATGTTTCTTTTTGAAAGTTCTCAAGTACCTACTAGTACTCCTGGATGGAGAAGGGCACTGTCTTGCCCGGGAACAAAATGAAATGACTGCGCTAAAATGGTTTGGCTCGAACCCAGATCTCTCGATCCATGTCAAGGGCCAGTGAGCTTTTCAACTTACAAGGAAATGCTAACTGCATTAGAATAAAGGTAAAACATACTTACCTGATTTTAAGATCCGCGGTACTTGCGCTTCTTGTTGTAGAGAAAGACAAACCTGACACGTCAGACCAGAACTTTAAAGCTTTCTCGAACACATCGTCTTGTTTTGAACGAGATAAATCAGCTCCATATTCCACAAAGTACGTCAAGTGTCTTTTGTTCCATCTGCCAGATGTACTGTATCTCTTCACTCGACCCTGTTTACCCACAGGATCTGGCATTCCGCAGCGTGGTGCTTTCATCTGCGCAAGTGTTAGTTCATCCAACTTGCCAGTCACAGGGAGACCAGTGAACTCTTGGAAATTTTTAATGGCAACCACCAAGTCGTGGTTTCCTGCGCGCGTTGGAGATAAGTACTGATAGTGGTTCAAAAAGTTCTGGAGAAAAATTAGAAACATACTTAAAACAGCAGCGATTAATTGACGATAACTGGTGTTTTAGACAAGTGCTCTATTGACGCTATACTCCCACAGTTCTTAGCGAAGAGTAGACGTCAGGGAAAGTTGATGAAATACTGGAGGAATAGGATAAACGGACATAAAGAGCACTTGTGGACCTGTAGAATAGCAATTTACTCTTAAACGCTTGTTACTAAAGCAACTAAGCTGAGCTCACGAGGAAAGGGCGACTTGTCTCAAGAGCAGAATTAAAGTAATTTCAAACAGATAAATAGATTATGAATTTGAAAATCTCCTCAGTCGTTCATGGTAAATAAACTCAGAGGAACTCTGTTAAGGTTCTTTTTTAAATAAGAAAGTCCAGATGAGCTTAAAAAGTGAGTAATGAATACCAAAATGTTCCGACAACGAAGTGAAAACTATTAGAGAAGGCAATATCAGAAAGAAATTCTAAACGTAACATACCAGAGCAAAACTTTGGTCATCGACAAAGCGGGCAAACGCATGCGATGTAAGAGCAAGCAACAGCACAGAACAAAACATGTTGAGACGGAGTTATATTACACCAACTAAAACGCCTTTAGTTTGGTATCTAGTGAAACAACTCACGGAACTAAGTTTATTTATAACTCGGTATTTACACAGTCTCTGCTCTTTGAGTTTACCTCTGTTTCAAATTCATATTTGTAAAGCTTCGAACCATCTGACAGCTGAAAATCGATCATCCAAAGAGTTTTACTCGGAAGATTTTATTAAATCTTTTCTATTTGTTATCAAGTTTATTCGAAATGCGCTCACTTATATTAAATTCTCTGCGTTTTAATTTTCACTTTGCCACCCGACCTCTCTGTCTTGAAGAATATGAAACTGCAGCTTTTGAGAGGTAAATGGAAACTGGAGATAAAGCTGTAACTAAATGCTGCTATATAATGAGCTCACTTTTACACTTGCTATTACACTTTTTACTAGTGCTTTCTTTTATCATGTCCCACGTCAAATTTTGCTAGCTTAAATTGTAGTTCCTGAATGAAGACACGTGGTTTCATATTATAACAGATGGTAAAAGATGTCTGCTGCGTGTGATTCAGTTTATGGTTATGTTTTTCTCCTTTTAACGATAACTAATTTTACAGATCGAGGACAAAAAATTATAACTTGCAAAAATTCAATACTAAACGGTATGTTTTGGGTTATAGAAACCAGGAAAGGCCAGTGTAATAAATGTCTCTCTATGATCATTTTTCCTGAAAAAACATCATTGTTTCCTCGGCATTTCTATTTTTCTAACTGTATAAACTTATAATTTCCAGCCTGATTCATTTGCGTATTACAATTTATTACCTGTTTGAAATGTTAGCTCAGGCTATTTTCCATGAATTTCTGTCGAAATCGTAATGAGATTTTCAATTAACAGAACTTTTTCTTGTTCTCTGACGAAAAATTGCTTGAAATTATTTAAAAATATGCTTTATGAGTGAAAAGGCTACTTTTAGCTATTTGTTTTAAAACTGTATTTGCATTTATTCTTCTTTACTTAGAATTATCTGCCTCAAAAATCTGAGGTTGAATAAGTATTGAAGCACAAAATTCCTGACTTTCTCTGTGCGACTTTCTTTCTCACTTGTTTGTTGGCATTTGAATGCTGTCTCAACTGTAAGATGGATTATTGTCTAAGGATTGAATGAAATTTTTAATTAAAGTAATTCCAGTTTCCGTGCTGCACCGTGCAAGGAATTGAAGGGTAATAAGTAAAGTCTACTATGGTCAATTTTGCAGCAATATAGCGTTTTGGTGGGGAGAGTGCCAGGGGAAAAAAAACCGTTAGGGTATTATTATGATAGGGTAGAGGATTAAAACCCCTTTTTACTTTGATTGCAGAAATTCACGCGTGCTCTTGTAGAGAGCCGTTTTCAGCATGGTCCTGTCTTACACAATTAATTGAAAACAGGGTGTTCTGTGGTTGATTGTTGCCTGGGATACTTAAGACAAGCCTCATGGAAAAACGGTTTTCTCTGGTTTGGCTAACTTGGCGTACACTTGTTTTGAAAAGATTCAGTATTCTGTAGGGGGAAGGTGAAGGCACTAAAATAAAAAGTCCTTTTAGTTTGTGGCTAATGAGAAATAGAAGAAACAAAGAATAAAAGTGTTAAGGCGAATTAAACATCGAAATATCTTTATTACAACAAGTCTTTGTAAATGCGAGATCCGTGCGACAGTCACAGATCAGATTTAGACCAGAAAAGGCGTCAAAATGTGCTAAGAACACAAATGACCCATTCATTTACGGCTTTCTCTTACTATTTTTCTCCGTACCTACCACATTTTGACGTCTGTGATCCACAAATGAACAGTCACATGGAAAAATAGAGCCCATTTATTAAAAAAAATGTCATTCAGTTAGATTCATATTAGATTTTAATTGACCGTTTTATCTGCTAATGTACAACTCTTTGTCTCTCGGCCCTTCGAAATATCAGAGCGGTTTATGTTGTGGCTCAATAACTTCCTGAAGCAAAAAATCTTTTTGTATTCCTGTCGAAATGTTCGATTTAAGGCTCCATAAATGATTGGGTTAACAGAGGAACTTGTTAGTCCCATATCAGTGTACATGACATAAACCACACGCGGAAGGGACCATTTTCCGACCCCCATTTCCACAAAATCGATTATTAAAACGGGCGTCCAGCAAAACACATATGCAAGAACAGTTGCAAATAATGTCTTGGTCAGTTTAGCATCATCAGAAGATATGCTATTGTCATGTGCACGCCAACTTTGTATGCGGTTTGCATTTGCTCTTAATTGTCGAAAAATGTTGAAATAGCAAAACAAAAGAACAGAAATGGAGATGAAGAGACAGATATAAACAAAGTCAGACACAAACGACATCTTTGCTTCATGGAAACAGAAAAATTTTCCCGGATGGAAAATGTATTTTCTACCGCTAACGAGATAAGGGACTGGGTACATCATGGCTAGAAACCAGACAGCTGCGGCCATGAGCCGTGCGCGTGGCATGGAGAAGAGAGTTCGGTGCTTCATCGGACGAACAACACGATAGTATCGATCAAGAGACATTAATGCCATGGTCTGTAGAGAAGCTGCTGTTGTTGTTATAACAACATAACCTTGAAATTGACATGTTGCAAAGCCTGAAGTCCATCTGCCATGAATGAGTGAGAGTAAAGACGGCGAAGTCGTGAAGGAAATGATAGCAACATCTGACAGAGCTAGTGAAGCAATTAACATCCCCGGCACGTTCTTAAGTCTAACAGATTTGTACACAATATATAGAACAAGGAGATTTCCGACAAAAGAAGTAGAACAAATCAAACTGTAGATCAACGATTCTAGAACGACTTGAAATGTCCCACGAGAACTGAAAGATTCCGATAAGCGATCAGCATGGCTGTCTTCAGCAGACTTCCCGGAGATATTCATTTTGGATTTCTGAAAAAAATAATTGCGATTTAAAATCATATTTCAGGGGTTTTTGATGAGCTTATTCTAATAATTGAAGAAGATCACACAACCTTCTAGATTTTTTTCTGGCTCGTTTTAGTTTAACACATTGAGCAAAACCTTTCGTCCTGTACCAGCCGTAGGCAAATAAAGAAATAATTTTTTGGAGTTACCTTTAACTTATAAGAACAAGTCTCCATTAAAAAGCTCTCTTGTGTAAACAGTAAAAAAAGTCGTTAAAATGAAACGCATTTATGATAATCAGAAAATGACTCTTAAGAGTATTTTAAAACTTTTTATGGTTACATTGAAACTTTATTAGGAAAAAAAAGCTTCCAATGTCCAATAAATAAAAATCGAGAGAGAGAGCGAAAAAAAAAAGAATTTCTGAAAAACAGCAATCCTGCAATCAATTATCCCACGCAACAGTTTTGAGTGAACCCGATAGGAAAAGCGTTGGAAAATTTGAACAATCTGAAAACACGACACCATGTCATGAAAACTTGTCAAGAATGATGTTTTTCATGATGACTTGACAAACACAGGAAGTTGTCAAGCACTTTATAATGGAAAATGTCTTCTCCACATGTCAATTTTTTTTTCAGGATGACCGTCAGGCTAGAAAATATTTCGCTTCGTTGTTATGAAGTAGACTCAACAGGATGGCTCCTTTCTTTTCATTTGCCATGTAAATTCAGGAAGGCCCCCTTTTACAATCCTTGCCAGAGTGTTGTCGGAAGGGGCGTTGGGTTGGGATTGGACCTGTATGAAGGGTGGGTTTTCAAATCACATCAAGAATTTCGGTATTGAAGGGGGTATCAATAAATCTGGAATCCAGTGGGGGTTTTTGAAACTCTGAAATAAAATTAATATCTCGAAAACAACCAAAGTTCCAAGAAATAATAGCCAGTCCGGAAAATAGTTAGGGTTTGTTTATAGGCATCGTTGTTATAAAATGAATAGAAATGGGTTATTCACTGAACGGTTTTCACCCTGCAATTAAAACAATGTGTTTTCGCATATGGATGCCGCCTAACCTGGAAACATTAAAATTATTCATAACTGTGGCGATGATTTTTGGAGGTAACTGACTATGAATACATTACACTTAAAGTAACATTTACCGAACTTAGTGGGTTCCACCAGAATATTAGCTCTCCCCGCAGGCCGTTCATTATTTAGGACACAACATTACACCTCTCCTGTACAGCTGATATGATTTACAAAAAATCCTTACCATAATAGTATTTACAGCAGAAAGACAATAACTTAGGAGGGATGGTTTTTTTTCCGACGGTAGGTTTACAACAAGTTAGTCATCACGATTCGATTCTCTTATTCTCATTAACTTCCTAATAAAGAAAAGCAATCTGATTGTCACAAATGAACGTTATCATTTCCTCTAATAGATACCATCTGGTCCTCTAGCAAAATGATCTAACAAAATCAATGGGACCCAGCCGGTGTTCCAAGGATCTCTCAAACTTCAACTTGGAAAGAATAATAACCTATGTCATCCTTATTTATTACAAATAGATAAAAAAAGCCGAATTTCTGTAAGACCTCTATGGCGTAGTGATTGTATAAAATCAAAGAGACAGAGCTGATATTCTCAAAGGGCTAACTGAATCCTTATCACGAGGTTTTTTAAAACAACTTATTATGCTGCGAGTCAGTTAGGATACTTACGCTTTCATATTCTGTTCAATGACAAATGAAAGCGACGACTTCTTTCTCGATATCACGGTTTCTTTTTCTAGCTGAAATGGGGATGGATCTTGTTTCAGTTCATCGCCTTGACTCGACTTGGCAAATAAAACTTGCAAGGTGAAAAACGTCCCTTTGTCTTGCGCACGTACAGATGTGATTTCAATGCTTTTTTCCTCTATTGAGAGAAAAGAGATCATTTAATCTAGAAAAAAGCCAACCTGATTGGTTTAAACGTGAAGGTGAATATGCAATATGTACGGGCAGAAGAGAAAACGAATAACGGTGATTGTGATTTTTCCCGCACGAATTATTGAGACTCCATGCGATTGGCACAGGTGATTAAGACAAGTTAATTAAGGGGATATGTGAATGGCATAAGACTAACATAAGAACTGACAGTTTAGAAATGGCCGATGTACGTGGAGATATTCAAGAATACATTCAAGGGCTCACTTTCCAATTTTAATTTTGCTTGTGTAAACAAAGTGGATTTAAATCTAAAGACAATCTAAGTGTTAGTGTAACTCGAGCGTAAATGCAATGACAGATGATGTTCCGATTGTTCTGGAAACGTTTCTTGTCAGTTTTTACAGAGGAAAAGGTGATTTAAGATACACGTGCACAATTTATGCATGACACCTTTCAGGTAACGAGTTTATCACTTGAGTATTTATTAGGCGGTTTTAACTATGAAATTAAAGCAACTTGTTTTCGCCTATAGAAACTGCCTTACCTGCCATTTTTTAATTGTTCGAATTTACGACGATGATATATTTTTGTTTTTCTTGTTGTTTTGCTTTTTTGAGCCACGCATCCATTGCATTTAACTCAGTGTATTCCGCCAGAATATTAACTCTTACAGCAGGCTGGTTATTGTTTGCAACATAACATTACGTTTTTTTTGTGAACTGACACGAACTACAATAAACTTGACCTGTATGGATGGTTTATTTTTAGCGAATCAATTACAGAAAGTTATAAATACGTAGTTTTTCTTTTCTGCCAATGGGTCTAAAATCCATCGAAATCGAAATTCTATTCGTTTACCATCATTGCATTTTTGAGAAAAAAGGCATCTCGATTATCCGATGAAAACTTTAAAGCAGATGCCATCTGTTCTTATGACTCTCTTATGGCGGAATGGCCCTTAGCATTTCTCAAGCTCCAAATTCTACGGAATAGATATCTTCTTTCTTGGTCATTTATTGAACAAACAAACAAACAAATAGAAATAATTCTCATTTTCACAAGACCTTACCGCTCAAGAGGCTTAATCGACTTTCATGGCGTACTTATGCTATAAAATCAAAGAGACCTATCCGAAACTTTAGAATTTTCGCGAAAGGCCACCTAGATCTTTATGTAAGTTATCGTAAGAGTCTGTATACTTATGATCATATGTTCGAGTCAAAAAGATACCGTCTTCTCCTCAACATCACGGGGTTTTTTCGGTTTAATTGGTGAAAGAAGATGCTTCAGTCTTTTAACTTGGCACGCGAAACTCAGGTTTTCCTTCCTCTATCTTCTCGGTTGTGTTGGTATATCAGCTTTATTATAGAGGGTCAGCTGGGAGAAGCAGTGGTTCAAGTCTCGGTCAGTTCAGTTTGTCACGTTGGGGAATATTTTTTTCCCACAGTACCTCGTTCCAATCAAGTCATGGTTGCGGCAAACCGTAAGTAAATGTGACGAAATTTTAAGAGGGTAAAATTGCAATAGAGTGACATCGCATCCAGAAAAACATGAAACAACTCCCGAAAGACTGACACTAATGCTCGTGACTAAGCAGCATAGCAACTCTACTGAAGAGGGTATCAAAGGATAAAATAAAAATTAAATATTTGCGCCATTTTTCCAGCCCAATGCTAAGAAGGAGCGCATATGAGCGGGAAAAGGAAAGAGACTCTTTGTTTATTTTAAATTCTACGTTTTCCAAGCTCTCTAATTGAGGTTACCTTCATTGACTCGGAGCAGAACGCGAAAACAGAGACAAATTCAACTGCAATTAGGGCTCACATTTGTATTACAAGAATTTTCACTTTTTTGCATAACTGTTGAATCGATAGTATACTGGGTAAATATGGAACCAAAATTGTTCCGTTTTAATTCAAGAGAACGAATCAGGTTCACCTCGTATGTTACCTAGAAACCAGCAAGAAATAACGTAAAATGGCACACATGAAACAATCACCTTTATTCCTGCCTAACCTTAGCTACACTGAACCGTTGGTTGCTTTGTTAATCTTCCAAAAAAATGCAACTATCATTTCTCTTCACTTATAGCTTCCCTGTCAATGACAAATGTTTCAGTCCAGCCACGGCCGACTGAAATCCAGCATTGTAATCCGTGGCCACCTCATTCTTGATAAAATCTGTTCTGTCATCTTTGTACTCGTCATTCTTACCCGGGCCTCCAACTAAAGCACCGTACAAAATTTGCGGGTTGGGGTCTGGCTTGTTAAAGTCATTCCAACTGCAAGGGACGGGAGACAATGGGCAAGAACTGCTGCGATGGTGAGGCCTTTCTGGTGGGTTGGTACCGAACCCTACCACAAAACTGCGGTCGCTATCACCCAACATGTAGTGAATTTGTTGCTTTGCGAAGTTGCGGAACGCAGTCGGTCTTATTCCATGGTCAGCGGCGACTAGGGCCAAAAAGGCAGTGTTGGCCGAGTAGCGGTTTGGACCCCACTGATCACGCCAGGCGAGGCCTTTCGGAGTGTAGTGGACTTCGTGTCCGGGAAGCCAACTCGTTATAAAAGTATCCACAGCTTGTTTGTACGAAGCTTTGTTTGTGATTGTAGCCAAGAGGACCTGAACGCCGCCTTTTTTGTCATCCCATGAAAACGCCCAAGGTTTTCCATTCATGGCAAAATCATTGTAGTACTGTTCGGCCTTAGAGAGATACTTTTGATCTTGGGTAGCTCTGAGGAGGAAAAAGAGCTGTGCTAAAATGATTTCGAAAGACATGTTAACCAACGCGTTCGCATTTCATTGCAATAGTCAACTTCTTCACAAACTCCCTGGAATAAAATCCTCGTATGACGCTCAATATAACATACGCCTGGTAATATTAGGAGCGAACAAATCGATTCACTATAAAAGTATTTTATTGATACATATATGTGGTTTACCAGTGACTCAGTTAGACAATTTGCCCAGCTGTTGGCAAAAATAAGCCAACAATGTTTATAATGTATCTCTCACTTACGGATCAACTCCTACTATAGTTGTTAAAAAAGACACAATCTCACAAATAATCAAGGTTCCTTACTTGTACAGCCAAGCTGCACCCCAGACGAGTTCGTCTTTATATCCACTGTGCGAGCGGTAAAAGCTGGCTGCATTAGGAATGGAATCACTGTACAGCCCACGGTTTTTGTCTGCAAAGTCATAAAGTTCAGCAGCGTGCTGAAGAAGTCTCATTGAATAGCTGATGTCTGTGGATCGGAAAGCGATTGAAGCCGCAGCAAGGGCTGCAGCTGTCTCAGCGGCCAGGTCTGATCCTGGTTTCTGAGGAGTGATCTTCCAGGCTGGTCTTCTCATAGTCATGTCCTCTGGTCTGCCCCAGTAACCATGATCAGCATTGCCATCACCAACCTTATAGACAATTGGTCAAATGATAAGACAAGGCTTGAGATTAGTTTCCAGGAAAACTTACCGTAGGTTGGTTAAAATGGTTAGTTTTTTACATTATCATGGGCATCACTTGGATACTAATTAAATAATCAGTACCTGCCCGGTCTTACCTGTCCATAGAACTCATCTTGTTTCGTGTGTGCTTTCATAAAATAGTCCAAGGGCCACTTAATGGAGTCCAACATGTAACTCAACTCTCCAGCATCTTCATAAGCATCTCTATACTCCACTAAGCCCCAAGACAACATAGTAACACTAAACGCCATCGGGAACCCAAACTTTACGTGATCTCCTGCATCATACCAGCCACCAGTCAGGTCCTCGCCATTATCACCGCGGTCACCGAGTGCTGAGTCTTTCCGCCAGGGAACTCGGTTGGAGGAAGGAAGTTTACCTGATCGTTGAGCTTCGTAAAACAAAATGGAATCGTGAAGTACTACGTCATAATCAAATGGCGGGGGAGCACTGCTGGGTTTATTCGTAGTGGGTAGCTCAGTTGGTTGTTCTGTGGTGGTTGAAGGTACTTTCGTAGATGGTGACTCTGTGGTAGCTAGTGGTTTTTCGGTGGTTACTTCTTTAGTGGTTGGTGATTCGGTGGCAGTTGGTGGCTCTGTGCCAGTTGTTGGTAAGTTGGTAGTTGGGGGTTCTGTGGTTGCTGGAGGCTCGGTGATAGTTGTTGGTCCGTTGGTAGCCGGTTGCTCTGTGGTATCTGGCTCTTTAGTGGTTGGTGGCTCTGTGACAGTTGTTGGTCCATTGGTAGTTGTTGGTTCTATGGTAGTTGGTGGCTCTGTGGCTGTCACTGGCTCTATGGTTGTTGGTTTGGTGGTAGTTGGTGGTTCTGTGCTAGTAGGTGGTTCTGCGGTAACTGGTGGCATTGATGTCCCTGGTTCTTCTGTGGTGGTTGGTGGTTGGGTAGTACTAAAAGTACATCCTCCCTCACCTCCTCCAATCCAGCTCTCTTTCCGGCGAAACTCGATCGTGGCTTCACTCGGCGGGTCAGAATTCATTTGTTTCCTTCCAATAATGATCATCTCAAGCCTTGAACATTTATCAAGATTGGCGTTATAGGGTCTGTTTTCCAGGATGTATACCTTGCGATCACTGGATCGCCATTTCTTGAACGCTTTTGGCGTTTGAAGCGCCCTCACAGCAATGGGGAACGTTAGTGTCATCACCCAGCCTCCCTCGACCTTCTGCTGCATAAGAATACTAATTTTCATTTTAAATCCATTCGGCCATTCTTCAATCAATCTTGCAGTGGAATTTTCTTGAACTGGGGGAGTCGCTCCCGGTGGGATTACTGTTGGGAATGGGGACATGTCGCATTTGGCGTTTCTTCCCGGGTGAAATTCTAGAGTTGCGGAAGGAGCAGCTTCATTGTTTTTCGCCTTTTCCCCAATAAATTCCATTTTCAATTTAGATCCAGCCTTGAGATTCCCATTGTACTGCTGATTCCTTAAACAGAAAACGCTATTACCCTGAGCAGAAGACAACCGACGAGCATTGGGAGCTTGAAGCTGCCCTATCGGCTTTGAAAACTTGAGTGACATCTTCCACCCTCCTATTACACTCTGAGACATAATATGGCTAATCTTCATTTTGAAACCATTGGGCCAGTTATCTACCAGTTTGATATTTATTTCCTCACTGTATCCCAAAGAGACGAGACACAGAAGCAATAAGAACTCATTCATTTGGACCTGGGATGTGAAGAAAAGAATTGAGTTTAATTTCTTCATTAACGCCTGATGTAAGTCCTTGCTGCTTGTTCTTTGATTCGCAAGAGTCGAATTTTCTTGTTTTTTTTTTTAAAATTATTTATTAAGAATAACTACAGTAATGATAGAAATATTATTTATAAAAATTTTACTTATGACAATGATAATGATAAAAGTAGTAATATTGATTAATATTTTTATTTGAAGAGATGTTGAGGAAGCCAAAAAATGCATTGGTAAAAAATTCAGCACTGTCGTAAGGGTCAAATACAATTTTAAACCTCGATGGAATTTATTCGTTTCTCCTTCACTGGTGCGTCTCTCCCGTAAAGCTAGAGGGTGCTTTTGAGGAGAAAAAACAAGTTTTCTGTTGCGTTCAACAACATTGGAAATTACAAACCGAGTATGTGGTAACCATTTTTCCTGCAATCAGGTGGGCCAGATTCTTAAATGTCCACACCAATTAAAAATAAAAAATAAATAAAAATTTTACCGATTGTTTGCTTTTTCTTCCTAGTCTCGCATATTCAGTTTTAGCTGCACATTTACTCCTCAGTCATGCTTGATTTATCGTTTAAAAGAGGGATGTTTTCTCGCTTTATAACGATGTTGTCCGAATTGCAAAGAATGTCTATTCAAAAGCCTTATTTTTAGGAATTTTTCCAACAACCTAATTATAGTAGAAATTACAGTTGCTAAAGTCGCTTTGCCAATAGCTCTTTTTCATCTACGAATGTCGGATAAGTTACTGTTATAGAAAGTGGAAACTTTGAGCCGATTTTTCAAATGGTTTTTGGAACTTACCTTCTGAGGGGAATCTTCAATCCAACTTTAGAAGTGCTTAAAATGGCGAATATTATCCGCGAGTGTAGTCTTCGGGGTTAGATACGGAAATATTCTTAATATCCAAGATTGTTTAAACAGGTAGTACTTGTTATTGATTCAAGAAACAATGAGTCTTTTGAACATACTCTAATGGCTGATCAATTGACGCAGGCGACTGTATCAATTTCGTCATAAATCCGCCTTTGAATCTTTTCTGTAAACAGACTGAGTTAGGGCCTGTATTGTGCAAAAAAATTCATTCTTCTCGAAGCTTTAATCGACCTTGACAGCTGTCCACAGAAAACAATAAGCTAAACGAGATGTTGTCTTTCCTAACATTTTCGTCAGGTTCACACATTCTATAAAGAGTAAAACACTGAAGTTCGTCTATGAATAATTTTCAAAGGTAAAATAACAAAATGTTCGTATTGTTTCGCTACCCTGGATGCGTGTCAGGCATGGATGAAGCTCATTTTCCAAGTGGTTTCTGTAGCTCGATAATTGAGCACCTAGTTTGATCTTGTACTCATGATTTTGTGGAGTTTGACAACATTTTGACAACAAACGAACCGAACAGCTTGGAATGACAACGTCTATTTTCAACTGAAGTGGTGTTTTTTTTGGAAGAGTTAAACTTATTGCGATAACCTCCTTTAAGCTGTCGATTTTTTTTTCATCGATTTTCTCTTCTACTGCTCATGTTTCATTTGCGCCAGTTATAATATTAATACTCACTCGACTTGTTACGAATCTGTAGCGGGTGACAAAATTTCAGGATTCATTGTTTACATTTCTTTGCCTCTTTTGGAAGGTTTCAAGTGTTCCTATTTTAATTAGGACATCAAAATTGTAGTTTATCACGAGGGAAGCAACTCAACCAAGTTTTTACCCTGGATACAAATGAATACAACAGTTACTAGTTACACTCTGTTCTGTAATTAATGCATCTAAAAGAAATATGTCCCCGTTAAAATTCCTAAGAAAACGGCTGTCAGCTGAAGAACTTGTTGTCAATTGGCTTCTTCTTGTGAATCTTCTTTCAAATTAATGTTTACTAACCAATGACACGTCTCGCGAGTACTGTGAAATTATACTCTTTATTTGGTCTGAGTGCGTAGTTGAGGTGGTCCTAAAAACCAGAAAGCAATTGAAGAACGAAGTTTACATGAGATGAACTGTTAACAGCTGACCTTCCTTCGATATGGAAAGACAGCTTTGGTGGAAGAAAGAATTGGACAATAAGAGATTGAGACGAAACTATTTGTGTCCTGTTTACGATCTCAACCCAGCGCCCTCTCGTTTAAACGTTCGCTTCCCCTACCTCGATCCCCCTCCTTCATGTTCATCCAATGAAAAAAAATGTAGGTTAGTTAGTTTTATGTGGCAGAGTTCAAACCTGCTGAAGGATCTGCATTTTCAATCATATCTCCTTAAGTGATTATCGAAGCACAAATGCAATCACAAACTCCAAACAATTTAGTAAAGAATACGTACGGTACTAGCTCGGAGAGAGTTTTGAGCTTCGATATCATTGCAAAAAAATTGTACGACGTCTAACTAACTAACTGGAAGCAGCAGCCAGGTCGAATCGCACCAAGGACTTGCCTACAAAAGGTTATGACAAAGTTTTACACCAACACTTAAAAACATTAAAAAATAACACGGATACAGGGCTCGAATTAAGTTGAAATTTTTCATTGTTCTCTGCTAAGAATAAAATGTTTAAGTTCAGTGATAGCTAATTGGAATCCAGCATTGAACTCTGTGGCCAGACACGAAGTCCACTACACTCCAAAAGGCCTCGCCTGGCGTGATCAGTAAGGTCCAAATCGCTATTCGGCCAACGTTGCCTTCTTGGTCTAAGCTGCTGCTGACCATGGAATAAAACCGACTGCGTTCCGCGACTTCGCAAAGCAACAAATTCACTACATGTTGGGTGACAGTGGGCGCAGTTTCGTGGTAGGATTTGGAACCAATCTACAAAAAAGGCTCATCACCGTAATAGTTCTTTCCCATTGTCTCTAGTCATTTGAGACTAAACAGCCCCCAAACAAATCTGCAGTCCCTGAAGGGTGCGTATGTTAGAGGCCTGGGTATGAACGATGAGTCTAAGGATAGCAGAAAGGACTTTTCTAAGAACAGGGTAGCTTGTTTGTATGATGCTTTATTTGAGATTGTAGCCAAGAGGACCTGAACGCTGGCTTTCTTGTCTCCATTTAAATGCCCAAGTTTTCAATTTATGGAATAGGCTGTGCAGTATTGTTCAACTTTAGAGAGATAATTTTGATCTTGCGTGGCCTTTGAGAGACAAGACGGAGTCATATTGGACTTGTGTGGCCCTTGAGAGACAAGACAGAGTTGTATTGAACTTGTGTGGCCCTTGAGAGACAAGACAGAGTTATATTGAACTTGTGTGGCCCTTCAGTAACAAAACGGAGTTGTATTAAACGTTAGTGCATTGTAGTTTTGCATCGACCTATTCATCGTGTACCCTCCCCTCGCTGTTTGTTCGTACCTCAGTTGATATTATCAGTTGAAATTGAAATGTCATCCTCTCTGGTTTAAACTTATTTTAAGACTGCATTTTTCTGTAAGCCATCATTGGGTATACTATTTTGTTGGCCAAATATAGCAGTTTATATGATACAATCACGTCTTTAAGAAAGGAGAAAATTTACCTAATTTTATGGACAGTCAGAATTCTTCAAAGGCAATTTCCCCGAAATCAAACAGTGTTTTCAATACCAGACGCCGTTTAAACAGCCGAACGAAACAATGGCTCACTAACAATGATTACTTTGAACTGTGAAAATTGTCAAACAGTGACGCAGACATCTGCAACGTCCTGCTACTGAGTTAGTTTTCTTTATTCAGCTCTGTAAACATTGAAGAAGTTTAAGCATCAAAACTGAACATTGTAGTGTTATAGGCGGATTAAAAGCATAAAAGGTTGGCACTGTTTTTTATTTATCTTGGTTTCAAGGTTGATTATTGGCTTTCAAAAAAAGACACCGAGGCATAATTTTTAAAATGAAAAATTAATCTAAAAACAATATTAAAATCTTCAATTTTTCCGCCTTGTACTCCTATACCTCTTGAGCCGCTTCACGTAATTTATTAGGCATGCGCAGTTGATCCTTAGCCCTAATAACATGTAGTGGTATTGATCATCAAATCATTGTGATACTGTGATTGCTCCGATTGGTCAGCAACTTATCATGTATTGTATCAAAAAACGAATAGAAACTGGATTATTTTGAATTCATTTACGGCGTAAGTAAACCACTCTAGCGAGGATACTATAGAAAAATGATAACCTACTTGTAAACCCTGTACCGAATTTCGTAGAAAAGGTTGTGGTTATTAATCGTGGTGAATAGCAATAAAAGCTAAGTTTTTCGTTTGTCTCACGATGTAGTCACGTGTGATGTAGATCGCAACGTTTCGACTGCATTCTGCTAGTCTTCTTCAGGCGATGAGGTCGACTGGTCATGCGTGATCTTATAAAGCATGATGCTCTGCTGTGATTAACTGTTTTTTCAACAGCTCTGATTGGTGCATTTCGATCCTTGCTGTTCACTCAGTGATTTGCTCCCTCAGCGGTCCGATGTCGCACGTCTCTCCTGTTGTTGTGTTTTTTGATCGTGGGCATCCACGCCAAAATAAACTGCTGATGAAACAGAAGAAAACAAATAAAAATATGCTTCGAAAGTTCTTCTGTCATCTTCAATTCTGAATAATACAAAGTACAAAGTTGAATTTAAAGTGTGTTACAAAATGCTGATTGGACAAATATAATTTTGGCTTTTAAATCTCGAATCAAGTGAAAATACGGCTATAAAAAAAAAATTGTTTGTATAATTTCGTTAAATGCTAGGAAACTAAACTTTGGAAAACAAAGTTACAAAGGTACTCACATATCAGTCCCGCTTGTGCCAAAGGTTTAAGAAAACGAAAGGACGAAATTTCACCAAGGCCATACTCATAAACTTACGAAGAACTGCTTACAGGGACGCTAAACTCGCTTTTCACATGCGCGTGGTGACGTTGAAAGGTCCGATTACAAAACCAGTAGAAATATAGACAAGCGGATGAACATTGTAACTATGTTCGTAATCAATTTACTAAAAGTGAGCCTTCTGGGTAGTGTCCTTAACATATGTTTGCGTGGTCAAACTTACTTTAGATACCCATTCACAAATCAACTTTCTTTTCCCTCGTCCTCGTATAACTTAATAAGTCAAAAAATTCCAAAATCTTTCTTTTCCTCTATCGTTCATCTTCTGCGTCTTGACAGAAAATTGCAAAACTACAATTTTTCACTTCATCTAGTCTCCTTTATTGAATTAGTGCAATCCCCTCGGCGCGGGCGGTGAACCACTTAGAATGTAATCTGGGTACGAGTTAGCATTCGGTCAGCTGACTGGTCAGCTGTCATTTGCCAAAATGATATCCCATAATGATAAGCACGCGGGAGTACTGATTCGTGTAGTTTCCTTTGGTAGTATTCTGTGAATTCTTTTCTTTTCTCTATGGTTTGACCATTTAAGAAGTGTTCCTTTCCTTCCTGGATGATCAAAGGAAGGGGAGAAGCCAAAAATTCTGAGGTTGCTCAGAAATAAGGTAAATACTGTCTTAGTTTCGAATGGCGCGTGGTATCTGGAACTAATTCAAGAACGACAATCGAGCGAGTTATCTTATGGAGTGGATCGTAATTAAGTCGTTTGATATGAGTATAAAAAAGCTTTTCGCGATTGTTCAACAAATAGGCTGTTTCTAAAAGGGGAAGACTTTCGGAAACGTCAACACATTGTATTTGACCTGGTATCCGCGAATCGGTCGGCTTCAGACACTGGTCAGTTGTTTTTTTGATCCCGTTTAAGTTGTCAGCGAATTTTCCTTGGCTAGCTTAACCTTGGCTACTATTAAAAAGATTATGGTAGTCTTCATTTTTGGACTTTCTTTTGGGTTATTTCCACTACATCAACTTTCTTTTGGAAGCGTATTTGGGAGTAATATCATGGCTTGTTTATTGCTGGAAATTAAAAAAAAATCCTGGTATCAGTCGACAAGAACTGTTATTGCTTGACAAAACAAAGATAATGATTATGAGTTCTTACCTGAAGGCTTTTTCATCGAACCAAGGAAGTCCAAAATGCATGATTTTTCATTGGCAAAGCAGAACATTCTCAGTTTTGATTTCTTTTTTCAGTTTGTCTTGTTGATAACAAGTGTTTTTTTTCAATTTCCAGTAAAAGCAACATGAACTCTGATCTAAAAGTGGCTCCTAATGATAAGAAAGACACAAGGTTCCGTGATAATCGTAAGGGATCCCCTGAGCGATGGGGCAAGCCAGGGAGACGTGAAAATACCCCACCTAAGGAGACCAACAGAAGTGACCCTCACTCTATTAGGTGTCGCGTTTTCATCGGTAACCTTCAGATGAGCCGCAAGGAGCTTGAAGATATTTTTGCTCAGTATGGCAAAGTAGTGGGCTGCTCTGTTCATAATAACTATGGTTTTGTACAATTTGAAGATGAAAAGTCAGCTGATGCTGCAGTTGCAAAAGAAAATGGCCAAGTTTATTATGGCAAAAGAGTAGGTGAGTCAGTGGAGAAAAAAGTTCCAGCAAGAGCACAGTGTATAGCAATTTAGCATGGGGTCAAATGTTGCTGTGGAGCTTTAGATAAAAATTTGAAATAACAGTTTTTTTTGTCCCACAGTATTAACAATGGCCAAATTTTAATGGGGTTTTACATAAGGAAAAGTGACACTTTCTTAAAAGCTTTTAAACTAAACGAATCTCTAACATTTACATAACAACATCTTGAACAGCCCAGGCCTGGTGAACAAGGTCCATTGTTCTCAGCTTCCTTTGCTTTGCTGTGTGTCTAAGAGGCTCTTGGTGATGTCTTTGAATTATTAAAATTGCAGATGTCAACTTAGCTGGTGATAGAAGAAAGGAAAAGATGGAAGACAGACCACGCGACAGAGACTCAAGACCACCCTTCCCTTTCAACAGGAGAGAAAGAGAATTTGACCGTGAAGGAAACAGACAATTTAGAAAATCTCCTCCACGTGACAGACCAAGATTTGAAGATTATGATCGCTTCCCATCACGGTTTGAACCACCTCCTTTTGATCGGCGAGGGAGGTCTCCATCTCCACCTCCACCTCGGAGAATGGATGACCGCCCTTATGGTGGTGGTAGAAATGATGATTTCTACATGCGAGACAGATACAGGAATGAACCCCCTCCCAGGGAGCCATATCCACGACATGGGTTTGATCACAGAGGTGATCCATATGACAGAGATCGGAGGGATCCATATGATTCTCCTAGGGGCCCATACCCAGACAGAAGGGATGATCGGTTTGATCGGTATGACTCCTATGGAAGGGATGGTCGTGACAGCCGAGATTACCCACGACCTGGAGATTATCCAGGTCCAGCTAAGAGGCCAAGAATGGATTACGATGGTCCTGATGATATTTACAGCAGTAGCAAAACCATAGAGGCTCCAACTGACTGTGTTATAGTAGTCATGAACAAACAACAAAGGTATTTGCTGCGAAGTGCCATTTCATGGTCAGTCATTTGATGACAATATATTTTTTTAGGTAGAACTGAGAAAAAGCTCTAATTTTTTATTTTCATTTTGTTCTCAAGAAAGATGATATTTGCGAGGGTTTTATTCAGCACACCATTTTGCTGTTGTTGGTGTAATGATGACCTTCAACTTTCGCAGGTGTGCAAGATCAACTTGTGAGCTTATTAGCAGCTGTGGAAACAATATCAGCCACAGTTGTCAGTCAACTCTCAAACATCTTGCACATTAAAATTTTAAGGAAATGACCAAACATTATGACATGTTTTTCTCAAAAGCTCTTAGAATGTTTTGGGGGCCCAAAACCTCATTGTAAAGTTGTAAAAAAAACTCCATTGTTTCTCAAGATTCTTCCAGTATTCTTGGAGAAATAAGTATTTTTCCCTTCTTGTTTGCCCTTGGAAAGCCTTGCTGTAATTTCTCTTCTAGGAAATGATTTCTGTTGAGTGTGTCTAATGTAAATTGAACAACTGTAGATGGCATATTCGACAAAAGCATGCCAGTGTTGCTAGATGGTCTTTAGTTTGATACAAGTAGATTCCCTGTTTGGTAAAGGGATTTTTAGTTTTAGCCCCACCCTGTCAGGAATCAGAACTGACCTGGACAAATTCCTTTCAATAGGTAGGCTCTTGACACCTTTTGTCCTTCAGAATTTTTAATGACCCTCCCATGATGTGGGTATGGATATTTCCTTCAGTCCAGGAATTGCCTATATTCATTTACAAGTACTTTCTTTGTCTTCTATGCAGAGGCTATGCAGAACTGGTTCAAAGAAGACTGAAGTCTGTTGGACTGGTGGTAGATCTGCACTTTCATGGAACACAACCAATTGTAGAACTCTTGGATGATGTTGCACGGCGTGGCGTGTTGTATGCAATAGTGATAACCAGCCAACACGAGGTGCATCGCTCAGTGACTGTCAACATTCTGCATGGATCACCCCAAGGTAAAGATGAAACACCCCTTGCAGGGAAAACAACACATGCTGGTAAGGGGTTTATGGGGGGTAGGACAAAAGTATTCAAACTTAAATCATAGTGGCAAAACTCAGGAATATGATAAAAATGTTCTAATTACCTAATTTTCAGGGCTTTCAGATGGGAGGCTTTTACGAAGGGAGTTATTTACGAATTATTTTCCTTCTGAATTGTCTCCCAGCTTCACTGATTACAATTAAAGGTTGGTTTTCTTTGTTTGAAAAAGCTGCACTACTTAAAGCATATAAAATTACCATAGGCTTTCAAAAACGATTACATTCAATGGTGAATTGCTGCCTTGCTCAAATGACTAACAACATCAAAGTATAAGTGGTATCATGATAATGGCACTGTCATTATGCCTGGTGTTTTTAGCAAGAAATGTTTGTTTTGGGGGAAGATGTGAGGAGAGGGTTCATAAACAACTGGCTCATTAGGGTATTTACATGCAAATCAGTTTGCTTACAGCAAGTTAGATTTGAACATCATCCTAACCCACAACAGGATGATTGTTGGCCACCATGCATGTGTATCAGACATAAGGTATGGTATGAACCCTGAGTCAAAGTGATTCATCGCGTATAATTATGCTTACTTGAACTCAGAGCCATACTTGGATTTCTTTGGCAGAATTATGATCTTTTGTAAACCCAGATACAAAAGGTTTTTTTAATCTTTGATATTATTTTATCTTTCTTTTATCTTGAGAATAAAACATGCTTTCTTTGATATGATTTTGTATACTGTAAAACTTTCATATAATTTAGCTATCAATCAGGGAATGGATTGTTAGGTGGATGATCCTTGTATACATGTATGTACGACTTACAACTAAAGTGGTGCAATTTGTGTGAATTGCAATCTCTTTTTATTTACCTCTATATATTTGTTCAACATTTATTGCTCATATGGTTAATGATCAATATACAATATTGATACAGCAGTGCAATTTATTTATCCCTTATCCAAAACACAGTTACAATTGTCTCAGTATTATAAAATAATGACAATGAAGGGTTACTGACAGACCAAAGTAACCTTAATTAGTTCTAAATTCAAGGTTGCCAATTAATTATGTAATTTTCCTGTGAGTAAAAACTCTATAAAAAATTAGCTTGTCACATTGTTATTAACCCCATCATCACTCCTTTACCACCACCACCACCACTACTTACTATTATTAATTTCAATTCTATTATTAGTATTATTGTTGTGATTGATGTGTGACTGTTTGAATGCTGTAGTCTACATTCTTGACATTCTATTACAAATTATTCCTTCTTTGTGATAAGTTATCTCAACATGTCCTGTTTGCTTCTTTTAGTCAAATTCTTGTCATTTGAGTAAGAGAATTTAAACTATATTTTTTTTGACAAAGCAAGATGGATATAAACAAAGTTTTTGGAACAGACTGTTATCTCAACAAAGTCTTTGCTGTTTTCTTTTGAATTTTTTTTATGATAATATGGGAGTTGCAATTACTGTAACTGTCTTGCATGAGCAAGGACAGAAAGACAATATACAAGCTTAACATATTCCATGAGAGGTAGGAATGGGCACATATTTTGACAAAAATAAAGTGTAATAAATGATATACCACATTGGCCCAGCACCCTGTATGACAGTACATATAACAAAGTCATTTACTTTGTATTTTGTAGTGGTTCATGGTTAAATGAAAAAAAAAAACCACAAACACAAACCATACTGTAATGATTACTTTTCAAATTAGAGATGACACGGAGTACTTTGTCACTTGGGAAGAGTTCACCTACTTGGTAGACACTGAAATTCCTTGTGGGACAATTTTTTCCTATTTTGCTTTAGTTTTGTAAATGTGAAATGTGACAAGTATTGGTGTCTTTCCAGTGAGTTCAGTTGCTATTCTATTTCAAGTTACTCCACCAGCACTTTGGTACATTGTAGAGCTTATTATTTATTACACAGGTGTTCCTATTATTGTTCTATAATTATACTCGTGATTTAATTTACTTGGTTTGGAAGAAACTGAAAGACCCTAGCATCTTCTGTCTCTTAAACCTCATTACTCTTCAACCACTGACAGAATATCATTCTCTCTTTCTCATTACAACTTAAGATGATTAAATTTTGCATAGTGACAATGATCTAAGGGTGAGTTACACATGATTGTCAAATGACAGGGTCATGAACACAGAGATCTGCTTTGTAAATATTTGTTACATTATCATCGCCCACATTGAACGTGTGATGTTTCTACATGTAGACTCTCTTACAGGCTTAGCTGAAGTATATTTAACCAAACTATAGAAGTTATCCTTCTGTGTGTGGTTGTTATTAACTGAAAATGGTTGACAAATATTTAGATGTCATGTATTTCATAAACTCTCAACTTATCGACATTCTTTCATAATTTAAAACCTAGAAGTTTCCTAGAACCGGTAAGTTGTCAGTAATTAAACATCACGCGCAATGTAGTGATCACGTTATTGGGGAGTTATTTACGGAAATGAAATGTTAAGACTGAAAACTTTTAGAAGGTTTCATTTTCAATGGTCATAGACCATAGAGAAAAAAACTCATATACGGGCTTAAAACTAATTTTCGTTTTTTCGTTAATATTTAGCTTGTGAGCTTTGTTTTTTCAAACAATATTTAAACCATTTTAAGTTTTATCATGGCATGTATTTGTGTGTGCTTGCTGTGCTAATTAATTTATTTGCTATGAGTGGGCTCGACTTTGTTAATACACCGTTTGATTATGCATTTGTATAATGGGCCGTAATCCATGTGCAATATTTCTTTTAAATCATCTGTGGCATGTGTGGGTAATAAAAAGTTGGGCTGGGAAGTAAAATTATAAATCCTTTATCAGCGTAGCACATCACCAAAACCAGCATCCACAAGAGGAAAACATTGATTTTTTTGTTTCATGACCTGTTGTCATCTCTTGTTTCAACTTAAGACCCATTTTATCTCCATACAGAGCATAGAAACATGCCTCTTGATGATGCTATGAGACTCGTTGGTCAAAATTTTGATCAGTACATGCAAGATCTACGTGAAAGAGCGAAAGCTAGCAGTGTTCAGGAAAGTAGCAAAGATGTCGGTGAGACAGTTTCCAAAGAAGAAAAATCATCCGAGATATCATCCCTTTTGAGTAAAGCTGCAGCTGGTGGGAACCTTTCTTCAGACCAGTTAGCAAAGCTGATTGATGATTTGTCGAAACGCCAGCAAGAAGTTGTAGGAAGCACCTCAACAGCCAATGGCAAGGGAGGTAAAAATTCACCACGTGATTTTTTTTCTCTGCAGTCATCCAACCTTTGTCACCATGGTCTTGGAAGCTAAGTCAGCTTTATTCAGATGTACTGCGATTTTTTTTGTCTTGACTGGAAATTAGATGTGCATCGTGTGGTGCCGATTCACTTTACATCAAAACTTATTTCTTCACATTGCATTACAGATACTAAAATTGTGTAGGAAATTGAAATTTCGGCTCCAATTTCTCTGTTGGCCTGAAAACAAGAGCAAATTAAGACAACAGAGTTTTTCTCAAAGGGTAATGAACATACAATTTATCTTCTTAAATCTGTAACATCCTTGCCATAGCTGAAAATAGCTAAAAATTTTGAAATTTTAATTCGTAATATTATTGGGATGATATGAATTTGGACAAGGAATTACTCGTCAAAATGTGGCTTTTAACCAGAGCTGGCTAATATTTGTTGACCTGAAAATGAAACTTTCCGGTTTTAATTTAATGAACATGTAACTAGAAGAAAGGTGCCTGTCAATGTGTACTGATCGAATGGAACAACACTCGCTCTCATTTAGGACCATGACTTACATTGTATGTGTACTCATTTTTAAGTCAAAACTGAAGTTTTGGCCTCGTTGGCACATTGGGATCGGCCATTCTGTTCAAGCGCAGAAAGCATGCATAAACGGCCCGTAGGTGACGTCAGTTCGGTGTAAGAGATCAGGGTAAAGTGAATATGCATAAGTATGACACGTTTTACTCAAAATCCATGATTCTAAATTCCGGTAGTAATGGGCCTATCATTAATGTGTTACACATCTCTTCAGAAGTATATTTCTTTTTTGTCGGATTGGAGATGCAGTGATCTTAGCGTAAGCTTTAGGTTGTGCAAATTTCCTTCCTCACGTCAATGGTCCCGCAGTCTGGTGAGCCGTTGGGGCTCCACAGATGAATTTCCAACCAATCTACACCATTTCTTGCGAATATTCTAGGAGATGATCAACATCAAATATGAGGTGGAATGTGGTGTCATAATGCACCATCTTGAATGAAATAATTAAGATGGTATTTGTAGAAATAAGCCTCTTTGCATGTTATTGATCCTGTGTGAGGGTAGGAGAGACATTTTTGAATTGCCTGGAGAAAGTGTAATGTGGAAACTGGAATGTAATAAGTTTCCTTTGCAGGAAATAGTGTCACGAAGTATTGCAGGGCCTTTTATCCCAAAATGATGAGTTTTCTCTAGATTTCTGATGTCCCCGGATATGCTAATGAATTAAAATTTTGAAACTTATGATAAGCATTGGAATTCAAGTGGATGTCCTTGCCTGAAATTTGTGACATCAAGATAGTGTATGAGATTTGCCATAATGAAAGAACTGTGCAAGTAGCAAATTGAAATGTATTGAAAATTAACATATTGATATTCAAACCAAAGAAAACTTCAAATTGTCTGAGTTAGTTGGTACTAGTATTTTGGCAAATTAATCAGGGATGTATTAACATTTAGCTAGCAGGCAGTCTCAGTATGATTGAAAAGTTCTCATACTTGAAAACTTTACTTTTTTTTACTTCTCTGATGATCAAAGTCAGTAACTTTTTGCTCTGATGACAATCCTCTGGGTGTTTACGAATGACAATAACATTTGAAAAAATAACAGACAATTTTTTTGCTCCTCCTCTTTGCTGTTTTCTGTTTCCTGCGGTATGTCTACAATATTTTTATTGTTCATCATAGTTCCATTTACACCCGCTTTTTCACCAGGATTAGCGACAACTCAACCAAGTCAGCCCGCTGTGGATCCTCAGTCAATTGCCAAGCAACAAGCCGACCTTCAAGCTAAAATACTAAGTATTTTAAACCCTGGAGGAGTCGCCAAGTCTGGTGGTACCTCGAGTAGTTCTCTGACTCAGCAGGCAGCCATGCCAAGTGTTGTCCCTTCACCAAATGTTGCTACTGCAGCGAAATCGGCAGCACTTAGCACTACTGCAAAACCAATCTTTCCTCTGTATCTTGCCCAACAAAAACTTGTCACGCCAATACCAGGTAGTGGAGGATACTTATCGTCTTCAGCAGCACCTGGCCCAGGGGCTTTAACAGGTGCGACAGGATCAAAGACACTGTCTTCTACTCCATCAAATCAAATCGGAAAATCTCCCCAAAGTGCGGTACAATATGGTGTTACATCTGCATCGAGTTCATATTCTGCTGCTTCTGTCAGAACAACTCCATCCGCAGCATATCAGTACACCAAACCTGCAGCCCAAGGAGTCCAAAGCACCTACGCTACTGGTGCTAACCGAGCTGCGACAGCTTCATCAAGCTCTTCTTATGGCTCTCCGGCAACCCAGCGATCTCAGACGTACCCGGCTGTTACCCAGGCTCAAAAATCAACTGCCTCTTCTGCCACCCAGTCTCCAATTTCTGCTGTTTCAAAAGCTGGTCTTGCTGGACAAGCAATAGGGACAATTGGCATGCAAAGACCGAATGCAGTTGGCCGTGGATCACCTGGTAGTTTGAGTGGTTCAAGGCCTGGTACAGGCGCCCCTGGAGTCCAGATGAGAGCCCCGTATCCAATGGCATCTAAAGGTAGAGCTGGTTTACTAGGAGCTTCCCCGACAGCTGGAGTTAGAGGACCCACACAAACTGGTGCTGCCAGAGCCCCTGCACCTTCAGGTTCTCCAGGTGTACGCATGGGAACTCCTAGAGGTCCCTCACCAGTGGGTAGAGGTACTGTGAGGACGCCATCCCCAGCAGGCATGCAGGGACAGGCTCGTGGTAGAGCCATAGCAGTCCGGGGTGGAGCTATCTCTGTTCGTGGTGGGGCAGTTGGTGGAAAAGCTGGAACTGGTGCCGCTAGCACGACAGGCGTTGCTGTCTCTCAAACAGCTTCCCCTAATAGGGGTGCCCTTGTTCAGCGAGGTGCTCCAGTCGCACGGGGCATTCCTACCAGAGGAGGAGGAACCGGTCCAACACGAGGTTCTCCAGCGAACCGAGGCGCTGCTCGCGGTGGCTTAGCACCTCGAGGGGCCCCTACCTCTCGAGGTGGTCTAATTTCCCGAGGGGGGCCCCAAATGCGTGGTGCTCCAAGCGCCCGTGGTGGTCCTTCACAACAGGGTACCCCAATTCGTTCGTTAGGTCCTGGTGGAAGAATTGCTGGACAAGGCCCTATAAATCGTGGTGCGCCTCGGGGAAGGCCCATGATGCGTGGCGGTCCTGGTTTCAGAGGAGGTCGTGGAAATTCCGGTGGATACTAATAGGGCAACATGATGTGGAGTTTGCGGACCTTTTAATACAGAATTGAACAGTATCATAAATCTACCATGTTAGTGTATGTGCAAAGTGCATGCTTTCTTATTTGCTTTTGTTGTTTTAGTTGTCGTGTATCGCAACAAAAAGTGAGAGACTCCTCTTACTCCGCCACTTTCGAAAGAGAAAGGTTTTTATGTAAATTTTATCAGTCACCGTCTGGAGTCTTGTTTCTTTTTTACTTATGCCACTCTATTGCTGGCTAGTTGTAGTTGTATTTCTCTCGCGAAGATCATTCTGCAACATGCTTTTATTAAAGAAGTCGTAAAGTTTGACCAAAAAACTGCTTTTTTTGAATGAATTTGAATGAATTTTTTTGAACTTGAATGCGAACTATGCTGAAGTTATCTTCAATCTACCGAAATAGCTGACAGATAAACACGCTAATCCTACACCCAGTTTATTTCATTACGTTATTAACGGTTACTGGAACTAGCTGGGCCCTTGTTAAAGGTGACACATACAGATATGTAACTTGTAACGCTTCCAGAATCTCTCTAACTTGTTGTTTTCAAACCAAATACATTTTATGATGAAATTTCTGTTTTCTCTTTGGTCCAAATTATTCCTCTTTAAATACTTCTGTTTTCAATGTTGTATGTTTGCCCGAATTAGTCGCTCAATATTTCACCTTGTTATTGTATCGTCAAGTCATCTAGTTACCACAAGATTTGCATTGTTTTGTATGTGGTTTGTTCATACAGGAAGAGTTTGAAAAAACTCTTCAGGAATTAAAACATGCTGCCTGATCTTTTAACTACTGCAACCGAAAATTTAATCGTGATTACATGTGAGCGGTCACACGCAGCGCTAAGAATATGCATTTATCTGTCGAAGCTATCTGCAGTGGTAACTTATGTGTAGGGGAAGATCTTAGGAAGCAGTGCATTTGATAGCAGTTATTCCCTCTGTCTCTCTAAGAATATGCAGGTACTTGCCGAAGCTATCAGCACTGGTAACTTATGTGCAGGGGAAGATTTCAGCAAGCAGTGCATTCGATAGCAGTCATTCCCTGTCTCTCTCCATGCTGTTGACGCGGAGTGACTCTGCTTGTTCTTCTAACCTTTTTTAAATAAACAACTGATATCCTTATAGAGCGAACTACAGCTGAAGACTGCTTTCGCCCACCAATTTACTCTACTTTTCACATTCTTATTTATTTTTATCTTCATTATTATTGTTATTATTATTATTATTATTATTATTATTATTATTGTTATTGTTATTGTTGTTGTTGTTGTTGTTATTATTATTGTTATTATTGTTATTTTTATTATTATTATTATTATTATTATTTTTTTTTTATAATTGCTATTGTTATTGTTCTCGTTTTAAAGCGAATTTTAGACGTTTCGTTTCCTGGTAGTTGTAGACTAAGTACAGGCGGTACCATTAAGCTATGGAACCTCAGTTAAACCTAATCTCGAGTGTTGACCGTTGTTGCACACACGTTTATATATTGCACTGGTAGCAAATGAGCAACGGTGGGTTTGCTGTTACAAATTCGATTATAATGGTTTGTAAGCATTTACTGTAAAGATCATTTTTGGGGGGTAACGCGATCGTTAAAGAGTTATCAGTATATTTAAAGTAATCCTGACTATACCATACAGTACCCGGAAATCGCAGGCAAGCTTTTGTCGCTGCAAAGAACATTGTTACAGAACAGACACGACTACGCAACACATCATGCCAACACATTCAACTCGTTCTCCGCATTAGTCACCATACCTCTCCGTACAAGACTCTTACTAACTCGTGCCATGTCCGGTTGCTAGACGAGGGTGTGTCCTGCACATACAGCATTACTGTGTCACTTTGTTTTTCCTAAGATACTCGGTGATACGGAAGAGACCTGTCTAAAATGGCGACTTAAACTGGTTATTGTGGAAAATTGAAGTTGCCTCTTAATCTCTAAGATGGAGAAGAATCCAAATTTGTTCTTGTTTATTTTATCTTGCTATTAGTTTTTGTCATGTTTTGTTTTGTTTTGTTTTTTGGCTGATCTGCTCTCAATTTGGAGCTGTTTGTGGTTTTAATTTAAATTTTAATGAATACTTTATGCTTTTTCTTGACCTTTGCTTCCAGTCTCATTTTTCTTTGTCGACACAGATTGACGGAATATTATCTCAAACAACACGATTTCATACTTAGCATCACGGCATGTAATTTGTTCTTTCTGGTACCTCTGACAAAGCCATATTTAAATTTTCGCCTACAAGGCTCTCAAATGAATCCGTAATGATTTGTCCACTACGGGCTGTGCTCTTTAACCTTCATCAGTTTCAACAGCAAATGAAATCTCCTTTAGTTCGTTTTCCTTTGTCATCTAAATGTGGTGGTGGTCCTTTTTTTGTTGTAAATTGTTTGTGGAGCTTGGCCAAACATGGGAGGACGAAACGGATGTCTCACTAAGGAATGTGTTAACGGGTGAGTTTCTGTACAAGATTTCTCCCTTCAACTTGAGTTCCTGGGTGCTCTGTCAAACTGTCCACGACACAATTTGTCGAACAGTTCTTTGAAGTACGCTCCTGTTGCATCTTCGTCTCGTACTTTTCTCGGGATGATGATTTGCAGAATTTAATATGCAATTGAGTTCCTTGTTCTTTGATTGGACCAGAAGACTCGCATTACTCTCACAACCAATGAAGTCAGAAACTTAAGCCAACCATTTGGTACTCACGTTTTTCCCCGCCTCAGATGTTTTCTCATTTTTTCTTAAGTTATTACTGGCTGTTTGCGAAATTTTCCTTTTCTCGGATTGGAAGTTGTGATTACTTTGGTTTTGGTGTATTCTAATTATGACGGGTCCTGACGTGATGGATTCTCGTAAACTGATCGCGTCTAATTTAGTCGTCCTAGTCGTTAAATAAAAGTCAAGTCCATCTTCTTTGACGAAAGGGATATTTATTATAGAAAGTTTGTTAACTTGTAAAGAAACTCTACATAGAATAATTGAATTACAAAGAGTGAAAAGTGTAAATCTAATATCGTAATCAATGAAAGATTATAAAAGATGTTCAGTGAAAGATGAAATACAAAATGAGTGGTTACATCAGCGTCTTAGGAACTTAAAACGTTATATTAGTCCCCAGTCGATTGTAGCTAATCGAATTATATTTTTGAGTTTTTTTTCCCTTAATCAACTCTGTGTTAGCTTATCAAGAGGTGTGTTGCTCACACCTGTTAGATCGCTGCATTTGGGTATGTATCGCACTAATTAGATCGCCGCACTAGTGTACGTCTCTCGCACCAATCAGATCAAAGCATTGAGGTATGCTGGCATCAGTTAGAGTGTTCCTCATGTAAATCATGTCATGAAATTAGGATACCACAACATGTTGCGATCGAATCGATCCAAAATTGACACAAAGCAAGAATCACCTAAGAAGGACTTGAGAGCTTATCAACCCAGTTCATGTCCCTTGTGATGACTTCGTCGCCGTGATCCGTCGGGCGTCGATAGGTCGTTGGAGAATTTTTCAACCACATAGTTGATAAAAAGTGCTTTGTGTACCGCTCCTTCATTAACAACGCACGCGCCGTCAGCTAAAGACCAAACACGAAATTATCACTAGAGCGTTTCTTTTGGGAGGGTTAGTTTCGCTGACAAGGGTAAAAATTGCGCAAAGCATTTGCATAAAGCACATTTGATCGATAATCTTGATTTTGTCTTGTGGTTGCTTTTTCGGCGAAAGTTGAAAATATTAACAAGTTATATTTACTTTTTGCGTCAACTGCGATGTGAAATATCTGTTTCTGCTTATGGTGCTTTCAGGTGCATCGAGAGGAATTTAAGTGAATGCAAGTGAAGACCTTTTCCACACTCCCTTCAGCTTCGTCCCTGTCAGAGTACAAGAACGCCTGGGTTATAGTACCTTTTTTATTCTTTTGGGAACTCTTACACCTTGAAAAGTTCCGTTTCTGCCTTAGATAATGTGCTACGTTTCTCAGGCTATATCTTCTAATATGAAAGTCTTTACGTCCATCAATTCTCGAAGGTCGCCGTATTAATCGCCATGACGTGTTAAAGTTTGGCCTTTTTTTTTTTCTTTTTTTTTCCGTCATGCTCTCAAGGATGAACTCGTATTATCCACCCGTGAGCGTAAATTGATTTGAATTATCGCAGGGTAATACAGCAAAGGCAGGAAAGCATCTTTTACAGCGCCATTCCCCACTTTACTCTGTACGCTTCTTCAGGTGCTGTCAAGGAGAATTTGTTTCAACATCAAGACCTTTTGTTGGTTATTTCCTTTATTCTTGTGGCCTTAGCGAGTGATTCAGGGGTGATATTAAAGGAGAAGTTAGATTCTAATCACTCTTGAGGTCAAATGGTCAACAGGGCTAATTTCGCCGCATTACGTGCGGATTTCACAGGGTCTTTTCTTCAACCCAATCAACCATGTTGGTGTAAAAGTAATTCAGCGTGACATCACAGACTAACCAGCCCTTGTCACGTACAATCAGTTGTCTAATGACGTCTGTTTGCGGTGCAGATCTGATTGATTTGGAAATTTACTCACTCGTGTTTTTTTTTTTTTTTAATCCAGTTTGCGATGTCGCAGCCAAGTCAGACTTAAAGACAACATGTAGGGACGATTAAGTTCGATGTTCTTACTAGACTATTGTGGATTCAGGAATGGGAAACATTTTCGGCACGTGTACGTGAGAGGTGGGAAGACTGTTGCTTACAGTTGTAATATTTGCAAGTGCACCGTTTTCATTGGGTTTCCTGTTCTTTGTTAAACGCTATCTAGTCGTGCACATGGTATTTTTTCCCTCATTCTCCTACCTTGTTGATGGTTACAGTTTTGTAAACAGCATGTTTACTTTTTTGTCCCGGTAGGTCACATTTCGTATGATGTGGGAATCAACAAGAACGAGACTCAAGCAGAGGAAGACGTCAACTGGGCGATCATTTGCAGAAAATTGCTTCCTCACTCAAACGCCCGGAAAATAAATTACTTCCTCAATAACATGTAGTTTCATTTGTCTCAAACCTCTGAAGATTCCGTCCCAAACGTTACAGTGAAGGTTACCAGATCCAACGATCACCAGCATAACACACTCTGTGCTCAAATTTATTTTCTCCTCTTTCATCCCTTTGGCAACCCATTAACTGTGTATCAGGCTGTCGGCAAGAGATTGTAGATTGAATATTATCTTTTAACAGTCAGCTATACGGATGGGGCGACACACGGAAATATTTTGATGACATCTGCTCCGCGAAACGTTCGAATTTGAGTGCATAAACATAAATATTTTAAACACACGAACTGAGGGCGGAGAGCTACCGCAGCCCACTAGCTGCGCTTTGGGATCAACTGATAAGTTGAAATTTGTCTTACCGTCAGGTTTAATGTTCCTGCCCTTAATTGAACTGAAAATATCCAAGGGGATGGGCAGAGAGGGAGGAAAGGCTTCTTACTTGATTTTGGGTTTTTTTTGTTTTTGAACAGAAAAGTTATAAGATTTAGAAGAATTCATAGGCATATCCCTAAGAGAAGTAATGCACTGTGACTTAACAAGTAATAATTTTAGGGAATTTCAAGTTGTTCTCTCGTTAAGGCATTCAATTATTATTCAATCTTTTCTCACCAATGTTCTGCGGCCATTCATTTAAGGTGAAGTCGGGACTTTTCATTTTGCCGAAGGGAAACTGGGGAGGGAGGCGGGCGGGCAGAATAAATAATCGTGAAAAGGCGTTTTACAGAAATCACATCAAACGGGACCTTTCTGCGTTGAATTCAATCATAACAAAACCCAGAGATGCCATATGACAGGTATACATGTGTGGACGTGTGAAGTAATAACACCTAGAGCTTGTGCCAGCTAATTACTGTTACGGCAAGCTTCGCCCGTGTTCACAAGGTAGACCAGAGAGAAAACCAATCATTGGGTAAGCACCGAATTCTACGAGGATGACACCTGCATCATTCTTTGTTAACAAAAGGTGATCACGTGCACTTAAGAACCATAGCCCCGCACACGTTTATATCATCTTCTCTCTGGTCCACGATTGGGTTCCGAGATTGATCAGTCGATACTCGGGATTGCTTCGGAAGTTGACGCTTTCATGGACGCAGAATCATAACCGGCAGAAGATGAATCTGACTCCGCTTCTTTGCTTGCGATCACTTCTCTGTAAGGATCTTTCGTAGAGTAACCTGCTTCAGTCTGATGATTATGATGTGAATAGTCCCACGCCTGTCCGTAATCGTAACTACTGTACCCACTATAATAATCAGAACAGTTCCAATATGCCTCTGAGGTTTGATTATTTTCATTCTTGTTATATTCAGAAAGCTGTTGAGCCGTGCTCACATCACCCTTCTTTGTGTTCTCGGAATGGAAGGCCTCTACTTTCTTGAGGGCTTCGTCTAACCTTGTACAGTCTGTGTAAACATTTTGGAGAACCTCGGCCTGAAGAAAGGAAATGAGAAAAGTCAAGTTACAATTAGAATTATCAAGACATTTTACTGATTTTACGCGAAAAAACCTACATAATTGTTGAGATGTAACAAAATCCTAGAATAAATAACTCAAAAAGACATTGAAAATGAATGAAAGGAATCCAGGTAGGTGTTTCATAATCAGTGAATAGATGCATTTATGCTAGAGACGTTAAAGTTGTCTAAGACGTTAAAGTCGTCTCGAGACGACTTTAACGTCTTGAACAACTTTAACGTCTCTAGCATAAAAACGGCCATTAATAAGATCAGAGGACCCCGTTGCAGTGTCCAGTGCTTCACTACCAATAAGGTTACTGCTTTGTGTGTTCCATGTATGAAACTCTTTTTTTATAGATGCATTTTATTATTCTGCGCCAGAAAACATGGTTCGCCTTATCTCAGGATCTTCGTTTCCAAGACGTTAAGAGAGAAATGGTTACATGTCATACATTTAACTATCATTGGGCTGAAGAATATCGCCCGATCTTTGACACATGGCGGCATTCGATGAGTGAGGCATGATAATTTTCATAAACGTTATCATTGATGTTGAGCGCTAAGTGGAACATTAGTTAAGTATTCTCTGCCAGTTGTGCTACTTCAGATTATGACCTCGAGCTCAGAAAAATCGTTTTTAAAACAGTATGGGCCAGTTGTTTCAACGAGGTCTATCCCAAACCGTGGTTTTACGCAAGCAATGGGCCTTAGGGATTCTCTATAAGAGGGTTGATTCAATTTAAAGTCTTAAAAGACTGTCCTTCCACTATTAGCTTTTGGCCCTCTTGAAACGATCCACAAAAAAAAAGATAAAAGGATCAGCTTAACTGGAGATGGCTTGGAACGCAGTTCCGTTATGGACGGCTTTTTTTACGGCTTTTGTTTAAATAACCAGCCTTGTCTGTGGTGGACAAAAAAATTGCAAAGTTTTAAAGGTTTTCTTCTAAATTAATAATTACCCATATATATTCCAGTGGGGAGATAAACAAATCTTTGAGACTTTATCATTACATGATTACAACTCTCTGATGAATTTAAGTGACTGGTATACCTGCTCAAATTGCTCTTTAGTCTGAGGGCCGCATTCCACAGGATACTGATTGTCTGTGTTCGGATAAGGCCCTGTAACCTGAGCACCAGATGGCTGAGTGGGACGTGTAAGAGCCTTCTGAAGTAACCCTCGCTCTGTGGCCGCCTCAAGTACTCTATGTTTAGATCTCAACAGCTCCTGGATGAACATGAAGCACGTTTTAGTAAATAAAAAGAAAGATCTTTGTTTGCATGATCTCCTTACCACGCCTTACACTTCAACAGAAATCTGTCTCCATGTTCTCTTGCTAACTTAGAATGAAGACCAGCCTAATTTGCATAAAGGCTTATATCTATAGCTGACAAACAGACTAAAAGTAAACTAGTGGAGTACCTCTCTTCGTGATTTTGGATTTGGATCATCGTAAGCCCATCTCACATTCAGCAACTCTCTGTTGTTCAGCTTTTGATCTGACATGGCAATCTTAAAAAACAAGAGGTCCAACATAATTTTCCTTTAAAAGTGTAACTGCATCATAACTCATTAGCTATTGTTACAGGTTCTCTGCATTTTATTGTGGCATTAATTTTTTTAAGATAATTTTTACTGCAGGAAGTTATCTTTCAAGAGTGAGAACTATCTGCCAAACTCACAAAAATTAAATACTGTAACATCTTCATGTTGAACAATAAATGCTGGACAGTGCACCAGAGAAAAAATAAAAAATAATTAAACACCTTCCTCTCACCTTTGCAAATTCAGCATTAACTCTGTTCTTGTAGCGTACAAATGCTATGTTCCGTTTGTGTATTATTCTTATGTCCTGTAGGATTTATTGAAGAAAAAAAAACAATTACTTTTAAGTTTCCAAGGCACAAGCCCTTTTACTGTTAAGTCCATGTCCACTAGGGAAAATTTACCACAAATTAAATAGGTGAGGAAAAAAAAAAACTTAAATTTCAAAAACCAATTCAATTGCATCTACCTCATTTTAATTTTTCATCAAAACAAAGGTTAATAAACTTCCAACCAAAGTTCAGCACATTCATATCATGTACTTCAGAAGCATCTTCATTTTCTAGCCTGGTATTTGTTAACCAAATTATTTTGTATCAATATATCTAAAAGCCACCTATTACTTTAATCAGTCATGCAATTTTAAATATATTTGGCACTACAGTCTAAAATGTCCAGCTATGAAGGGCATAAAAGTGTGACATTTACCTCGATTTCACCCCACTCCCCAAACTCAGTCCACAAAAGCTTCTCCAGTGTTGTTCGACAGCCCAGGCCTCCAACATATAGTGTTCTGCATTCTTTATCAAATGTGCCAACCCCTCCCATGTCTTCCTTGTGGAGTCGATGACGTTCTCGGCCAAAAACATCATGAGCTAGATCAATTCTAAATAAGTTAGGAAAGCAAATTCCTTTATTAAACCTCTACCTTAAAAAGAAATGTTTAATATTACATCCATTTGATCTAGCTTGTGTGTATCATTGCAAATGTACACCTCAGTCAATATATGAATGCTGATATCATTAATGTAATTGTAAGCATGCTAATATTATTACCACTGACCTCTTTTCATCTTTATCAGTGGGTATAATATGCAGATAACCACAATCAGAACCCAGATGACAACAGCCTCTAGCAAAATAAATGCAATAATAATGCTTGTTTCCACCAGGATCATCAATATTTGCCTTGGTGAATCCTGCATCTGTTTCTATGCAGCATTTTGTCTCTGATGGCCCTACAACAAAACCAGAAAAAAAGGATGATGAAGTTTTTGGTCAAGTCTCAAGTTTCTCTCAATCTCTCTATCTGTTTAGCCAACTGGATGTTGCTTTATAAATCCCACTCCTTTGGAAAAACTCAATCTTCCACTTCAGTATTTGAAATGATCTGTTGCTGTTGAAAGTGTTATGTATCTCCTATTTCCATTCCCCTCTGTTTCCCTATTCACCTTCTCCTCTTTGCTCATGCTATCTCCTAGACTGTCCTAATTCATGACTACTTTTCAAATGAACTCTTCCCTCTCTTCCTGAGGGAAACCACGACATAACACTGTGTCAAACCATGTGAGCCCCCGATATTCCATTGGTTAGGGTTAGGATCAGGAATATCGGAGGCCTACATGGTTTGAAGCAGTGTTACCTCGTGCTTTCCCTTCCTGAATGTCAAGAGTCTTTCAAATCACTAACCGTGATCTTTGTCATTCCGCCAATGTTCTCCCACCCATCGATCGTACCATATATTATACTCCGTGGCACCTTCAGGAATCCAGTGTAACTTTTCTTTTTCTTCAGGATCAATCTGTCGACGAGCTGGCTTTGTTAGAAGTCTCTCAACCATACCTTCTACATCACAGGCAGTTTGTTTAACGTTTTCCACATGATCATTGTTTGTTTTACCATATGCTGCTCCGTTGTAAAATCCTTGATAAAAATATTGGTTTGCTGGAATAAAAAGTGGGTGAATAGAATCCCATTCGGTCGGTTTTTCCCATTGAGTTCTATAATCGCTAATATTTTGATAATAGTTGAGTCCGCTATTCCAGTCGAACATAGTTATCCACGGACCGCGTTGTTCGTAAAACTGTGGGTAATATGAAGAATCCGTGTTACAAGCAGTCGTTGTTTCTTGTGTGGTCGTAGTTTCCTGCCTTTTCTGTTGCAAAGTTGATACATTTTCACCATCATCGTCATCCTCTGCCTTGCGTTTAGCCGCCATATTGAATTTTATGGCAAACCCGCTGACCATTTTTGATTTAGACAACTGCTTCTTACGTCAAATGAACTACTCGCGTAGATTTCTTCAAATGACTTTCCTCAACATCTGTTCTTAACAGTAAGCTACCTCTCCCGAATATAGAATGAGTGTCTCGATTTTCTGTAAACTTAACCAAATTTCATGGATAAATGCAAAATTCAATACAATCGAAAAGAGATGGTTTTAATGCTATGAAAAATAATTGTTTTCAGTGTTTGGGGATTGTCTTACTTGTGAAATTTTTGTCGCAGTTGGGATCATGTGCTTCCACTGCAGTGATTTTAAGTTACCAGAGACAATGGAGAAATGGTCAACCATTAAAATTGACGGAGAGAGGCCCATTGAGAGGACAATATTTACAAACATGTTCAGGTTTCACATTCCCACACATTGGCATCTGTTTTCATGTATTTTTTGAGCTGTTAACTAATGACTTGGTTTATCTATCTATTACTCGACAGAACTATTTATCATCCAGTTATATTTTGGGAAAAGAATAATTCTGAAATCATGGTTTGGTCTCCTCTTTTTTTCAATAAAACAAAAGTAGCTTTCTAAATAAGATTTTATTTTATTCCTCACACACCATTGTCTATTTTTCTTACACCAATAAGCTTATCTGTCCTCAAAAGTTGTGATGTGCACTGTAACACACTCTGCCAGAGCAGGTGTTTTCCTTGAAGAGGCTCAAAAATTTCACATTCTTGGGGATCTACTGATTTACCTGTCTTTGAATCTATCCCTAACAACAATCCATCATCCTTCAAAGACCTCTCCATCTCATTCAAACAGTGAATGAAATTTTCTTTTGGATGAGACATGGAAAATGAATTTTGATGGAGGAACCTTGGTATGGCTCGCAATGCACTACTCAGGATTTCCAAAGCCAGTGATAAATTTGAGTCTTTTACACTATTTGAAATTTTTTTCAAAGAAAAGCTCAAGGCCAGTTCACATGCACCAGCACCTGGTACAAAGAGTAACTTCTTTCCATCTTCACTAAAGGACATTTTGATGCATTTTAGTGCATGGTGAAGAACAATGTAATACTGCCTACATAATCCTTGTGCTGGAGAACAAAGAAGTATGCTGCATGGAGAGAATTTGCAGTTTGATAAATCCAACTCAAGATGGACAAATCTATGATGACCTATTGTGTGAAGATCACATGAAACACCCTTTCCAAAAAAGAGTTCTGACAGGTTGACCTCACCAACATCATTAATGGCAAGTATTCCTGTACACTTACAAATATACCTGACATACTCCTGAGGAATGCTGCTAACAACAGCAATACCATACTGCCTACAGAAATGCAAGGCGAAGTCTGGCACATTCTCTGAGGACAGAATTAATTTAATTTTATGTTCATTGAACATGGTTATTACTTTTTTTACTTGGTTTCTTTTCCACTCAACACTCAAACCTAAAGATGTTTCATCCTTTATTTGAATTGATGATGATGTCTGTGGTCCCAAGAAGTCAAAACTACAGTTCATAACAACAAACATGAACTCCTGAGAAGTTTTGGGAACTCCTTGTTGTTCAATGGAAAATCCACGAGGTATTATTACTCCAGGCTTCAAATGAGAAGAAGAAATTGGAACACCAGGAACTTCTACACAGATCTGGCCGAATTCGTCAATTACATGTAAAAGGGCATCCTGCAGGGAAATAGCTGATGATTTCCAAGTCTCCATCACCACCTGGTAAAGAAGTTCAACAAAGTTTGAAACTAAACTGGTCGGGAATTTTCCGTTAAGTGTTGTGATGAGAAGTCTAATCATTCTCTGTTTGATAAGCGAGGAATCCTCGGCCTCAAGGTCTGTAGTTACTGCGATTCCGTTCAGAACTGAAACAACAACTTCATGTTCAAGTAAACTTGATTCAAGTTTGTAAAAAGCTCGAGACAATGCAGCTAAAGTTTTTCCTCGGTAGATTGATAAAGTTTCAGTGGGATCAAAGTTATCTCTCATTCCTGTAATGGAAACGGCTTCCCGTAGGATTGATGATAAAAGCAACACGAATGATGTTGCGCCGTCTCCAGAGATTGAGGAGAAGGACACAATTTTGTTGACAATAGTTCGCCCGATGGGATTTTCTAAATTCAACGACCTCAAAATTAGTGCACCATTATTTGTAATAAGTATTTCTCCTGAAGATGAATTCAGCATGACGTCGTGTCCGTTCGGTCCAAATGTTCCCTTCAAAATCTTTTCCAAAGTCTCACAAACTTTCAAGGCTTCTTCTGCGACCGCCATATTGAACTTGAGCCGTCTTACCCTACAGCCTTGGCCAGCGTTGTGTCAAATCCAAAACTCCCGTATTAGAAACAAATATGGCCGACATTACTTTTGTGAGAAAGGCGCGAGATTTCCTTTGAAAAACCCAACAACGGTAATAGCGGTTGGTGACGAAGCTGTCTCTCACGCAAGACGGCTCAGCTTAATTCCCCACAACTTTTTGTTTGGCTCAGGATCAACCGCGTCGCCGAACTCCTATCTAACGTGTTGTGTACGGAGAGTCCGAGTTCTTGTCGTTGCGTTTATCGAATCAATCTCATGTCAAACTAGATTGTTCTAAAAGTCACTTTAACCAGAAGTCCTGCTCATATTGGGATAAAATATAATTGTTTATCGAAAACTACTGTCCATTAAGGAGTGATTGACGTTGTAATATCCACATGGAATATGATACGACGTTTCATCAGCTGTTGTCTTCGTGTGGCCTGTTAACACGGTCTTTTCGCGATTCGTTCAGACCTATACAGCTTCAAGTCTGAAGTCTTAGGACATGCAGAACTCACACGATTCCGAACGTGACGAACTGTTTCAAAATCTTTCTTCTGCAGTTCAAGAGGTAAGATTAATATGAAAGCATTCCCAAATGTGATGCGTCGTTCTCCATTTTCGAAACAAAACCTTCCATTTGGCAGTTTTCCATATAAAATTGATAAAGAAAGGTTACCCCTCAGTTGACTTGGGAGTTAGTTATAAAATTATAACTAAGAGGCAGACATAATATTTTATAACTAATGAATTGTAACTAAAATATTAAATCATCTGTGACATGGAAGCCGTGCGATTAGTAGAAACTTCCTTCCGCAATTCAAGTTCAGAAGGGTTGGATTTGAATCGATGCACGTGCTTGTATGTAGTGTCACTTTAACATCCGCTTTGTAAAGCGAAAGAACGGTGGTCAAACTTTACGAATTGTGTGGAAATTTAAATGAAATGTTTTTCGTGTATGAAAGAAGGAAGCGCAGAAGCAGATATGGGCTACGTTAAACATGAGAAATAGTCAACAATTTATTTCTTGACTTCTTTAGATCCTTGATGTAGCATTTTTAAAAACCTAGGGGTTGTCATTAGAAATAGCGTGATAAGTTTATTCACGTATGTATGTGCATTAATCAACTTATACTCATGATATACTGGAATGAGTATAACATTTAGTAATGTTATAAGTTATCTTCTTTTTTTTTACTTAAGAGCTAATCAACAGAGTCCATTACATGTGGTGTTTGTATTCAATCCCTATGAAGTAATTGAGAATGGAAGCAAGCAAGCTGTCTGGGAATTAATTGAGCTGAAAACTTAAGGGTATCTCTTAGTATTTGGTGGTTTCATTAATTTTCCATGCTGTCAGTTGAAAACAGGCTGTCAGGGAAACCCAAACACAAGGGCATGCTGGTAGGCTAAAAAATTGGCAGTGCAAGGACTCATAGATGATCTTAAATATAAACTGTACTTAGGGTGTGTATTGTAGGGGCAAACGGACTGTGGACTTTGAAACTCAAGGAGGTTTACCATGGAAAGTCAGAGAGGAATTTAGTATGAGCAATGGTTCGTAATTGATCCCAGCACTTGGATAAGTTTCCCCTAAAATTTGCCACTTTGATTTACACATACATGTGTACATATATATTTGAGTGAAGTTAGCCACTGTGAAATTGAATTTCTAGCTTACTTATCAATGCTATAGAAAGCTTATCATAGCCAATGCAAGTTCTCTGTATATTTTTGAATTGTTCAAAAGTTGAACTTAAATTCAACACATATGGAAATGTGTAAAAAATCTTTCAACCTTTGTATTTCTTAGATTCAAGGGCATGTTGCACAAGGATACAGTGTGATATGGAATTGCAGTGCAGTAGACAAATTATGTTTCTGTATGGAGGACATCTTCAATCACGGACTAAAGGAAGGGTTTGTATTTTTTTGGATTGATTGTATTGATTTATTCATCTTCATTTTTATTCAATGAACAGCCTGCCAAGCAACCTCAAATCATGTTGTTTCTTGCAGGCTGCTGGGCTGGGCCTCTAATAGCCAAGTTTCCTTTTGGTCACTGGCAAACAACATTACTTGTAAAAAAGATATTGAGGACATCAAACGGTACATAAACCAAGATACTTTAGGGAATGTTCTCAGTTCAATGTATTACAGAAGTTTTATTGTGTGAGACACGTGAAGGATATTCTCCTCTTCATTGAAATAGAAAGTGATATAATGTATCAATCAATTCAAAGCTTTAGCTTAATCCCTTGTGCATTTTAACTGTTGTACAAATTTCTGCCTGGTGAGCCAAAATTGCATTCATTAAAAAGCACAATTTTCCGTTAAATAATTGTTTGTGTGATCAACAAATGTTACAGAATTTTTAAAAGTCAAGTTAACTTGTAAGCAATATAATATGATTAAACAATATGAAAATTTTCGTCTGAACCATTTGCTCATGAAAGCAGAGTCTTTACCTTAAACTCCTCCATATTTAAAATGATTACAGGTTTATTCTGTTGGTTCAAATATCCCAACCCCACCTAGGCAAGGCTCAAATTTCCCATCCTCAGGGGAAGGATGACAGTCAAATGCCCATGACCAAATGGGGGGATGTTGAAGCTCCAAATTGAGCGATGCTTTATCAAGTGATTGTCTATTTTTTTTTCTTTAAATAGACTACAACTGAAACGTGAACCGGAGAAATGTTTGGCTTGGATAAGACAAGGACTGAAGGAAAACACACTTAGCAGCTACATAAATGTTATTACACAGGACGAAAAGCTCCTTAGGTTTGATATACATGTGCATTTAAATTATTCAATTGGTAATTCAAATAATAAGTAAAGGATCCAAACAATTGCAACCCTTAACTCCCATGAGTGACCAAGATAGAGTTTCTCCTTAGGATATCAATACAAGATCAAATAGGCAAGTGATGAGAATAAAAAGAAATGTCAATGAGAGGATTGTTAGTTGGTCCAACACAAATTCTCTCAACTAGCATCATAAAATTGTTTGGCTGACAGTAACGAGAATTGCTAATCAAGGAGTAGTAAGAGTGAGTGAGTGAAGGGGTTCATGGTACAAACACTTAATAGTTCTTTTCCTATGATTTATATTGAAGAGTGGTTCTGATTCCAGTCATTTAGCCCTTTACATCCCAAAATTAGTATGCATATACATGTTTATTTGCTTTACCATTCTCCATACATTTCTTCTGGTACTGACAAGGAGTATTTGTTTGACAATTACTAAATTGTTTCTTTAGTGGGTGATCATTTCTTTTGTTTTCATGACCTTCATGTTTGATTCAGCAGTGATACTGTTTGGAGAAATGAAATGCTAATCACTCAAAGGAGTTCAAGGGTTTCTCTCTCATATCAAGTCATTGTTTTAAGTTATTGCATCAGTTAACTCTCTGAAGTATTTTAATGCACATGAATTTGAGCAGACTATGTTTTTCACCCATTCTGTACCTTTAGTGTGTTGCAGAGAAATACTAGATATTACCATTCCAATATTATGTCATTTTAATGGAATGTGCTAAATATGCCACAGTATTACACTGTAAAAAAGGGCAAAAATAATGGATGGAATTTTTTTTTTCTGTTTTTAGACATGATTTTTTTTTTCAGCAAATAACTTTGAAGCCCAAATTTTTTTAGTCATCAAGAACACTCAAGCAGTTTCTTGTGTGTTGTGTTCTTCCTTCATGCATGTCTTATGCAATTGGCATGATGCTTGGATAAGACCATCTAAAAATTTGAAAACTAGAAGCCAAATGACTTGAAAATGAAATAATATTGGAATGATAAACCCCCTATTTGAGGGTAGGTTAAACCAGCAAATAAAGTGTATAGATTACAAAGAACATAAATTATGTATATTTTGTCGAGTACTATGAATTTCAGATAACAATGATTTCAAACTAGTTTGATTTATCTTTTTAACCCTTTAACTCCTGTGAGAGACCAAGACAGAATTTCTTCTCACAAAGCAATACAATATCAACCAGATAGGTGATGAAAATAAAGAAAAATATCAATACTAAATTCTCTGAACTAACATTATAAGAATTGTATAGTTGACAGTAAGGAGAATGACAAATTTGATCTGGGAGTTAAAGGATTAGCACAAAAGTCTTTTAAAACTAGTTTAAAGTCACTTTAGCCAGGAGACATCTGAAACCATGACTCAAATACTTATAAATGTTGTTTAGCTATTTCAGGGAACCTGTCTGGTAATTTTTGTCCAAAGGTTAGCTGTGTCTCTAAGGAAACTTATCTCCCTTTCAAAAAATGTGCCTGCAGCATGTACTCTCTTTAGAGTTACTGATGGGTGTAATATTAGACCTCAAATGCATATTAAATTTATTTTTAAAAAAAAGCATCTTTTTTTGATGTGTTGGGCATCAATCTTAAAGTGATTTTAAGTTTGTAGAATTTAAAATACAGTGCTGGGCATGGAAAAGTCATAAATATACTTACCTGTCATTATCTTCATTGCAGAGAATTCTACCACTCTCATGCATTTTTCTGTGATCAAGAGAAGGCAGAAAAAGTCAGAGACCTGATCACATATGGCATATCACATCTGGATTTTGACATGTAAGTCTTCTGACTGTACTATCAGTCTTGAATGACAGTTCTTTTAAGGTGATGTGCAGTTGATGAGCTCCATGTATGGGAAAAATTAATGCTCTGAATGTCAAGCATTTAAATAGCTTTTTTAATAAAAATACACTGTTACCAAATTGTTAGACTCATCGAGTCATTAGTCTTTCAAGCTGTCAAGAAGGTGATGACAGTCTTTGAATTTGTTCAATGCAAATCAACTTTGAATTTATGAATCTCTTCTGAATGCAAAATGAACACAATGCTACTCTCATTTCTGACACCACTTTGTTGAGTAA